TGTGCAGTGTAAACAGACCCATTTTACTTATATATGATTTGATAACTGTCTAGTAAAACTATTTGCTTAGTAATAACATCAAATATATACTTAAACATTGCTATGAATCACCTTCCTATTTCAGAGTTTTCTGGTTATTACTTAATATTTCACCATGTCAGGGCACTTTCCCAAAATTGATTAGTTGAGAATTACAAATTCGTTAGCAACATTTTATAAAATAAGACGACGAAAATTTTCCAAAAAGCCTATCAATAAATGCATTAACATTAACAATAACATTAACATTTATCCATATCATCACTTCTAATAAGCGTATTTATCCCCACAGGCAGCCGTAGTACATTTGAATTTCTGAGCCGGATCAACCTTTCCGGTCCCAGTTTGTACTGTATAGCCCGGACACTCAATAGAACTACCTGATGGTCCAACATAGTTGACGCGGTCAGGCTTTAGGTTGAATTTCCTTTTACTAAAGGGTCAAGGGTGCGTGACCCTATTCCTACAGGTCCCTTTAATGTTTCTGGGATATTACTGATTTTTATAAAAATTTGAAAATCGACAAAAAAATTGTAAACCCGAAAAATACTTATTATTGTTTTATCGAAGAAAAAAGTATTGAGCAATAATTAATGGTTAAAATAGAAGATGGCCTACAGGTAGACATGCAGACTAAACTGGTTTTTGAGCCAAAAATGTATTTTTTTCTCATATTCTTTGTTTTATAACTAGATATTTATAGATTTTTTAAGTAGAGACCAAGGGCATTCTAAACTAGTATAGAATGTTATATTTCAATAACATAAAAAGTGTGGGGGGGGGGATATACAGGGTGTCCCACATCATTCCGTTTTTGCTCTAAATTGGGGTTTTCTGGACTAATCAGGAAATCTAAAAAGCATGAATCACTTAAGATAATTGTGTAAGCCTAATATCAAAATTGTATGCAGAAAACACCAGGGTTTTAGAGTATTTCGTTTTCCGCTCTGCTCTAATAACATCTTATTAAAGAAAAGTGTTTTAAAGTCAAGCATATGGCTATTCATTAATGAACATTTTAGAAACTTTCAACAAAAAGAATCCATTAAAACTATGACAAAAAAATACGAACGTTTAAATATTTAAAAAATTTGCATTTTCCTTTCTTCAGCCACCATTTTGGACCACATACGTGTCAGGAAAATATATTATTGAAAAGAATTAGACCAATATTATTATATTAAACACGTGGAACACCATGCGTTCCCTTTTATACATTGAACTACAAAGATAAACATGCAAGTTTTAAAGATGAAGACGACATCTCAGAATTTTCATGAATTTTAATGTTTTCATATGTAAATAGTCTTACCAGTAGCTAGGAAATAAAAAAGAACGAACAGTGACCGAATTTAATAAATTTAAGTCGCGTCTCAAATCCCCCAAAAACCGGTTTCAATTGAGCGCCGGCTAAAATTTAATACAATTTTAAGTGAAATCAACCATATTTAAGCCGCAGCTTAAATTCAGCCTCAGATGGTTTAAAATAAAAAAGGCGACTTGCGGTATTTTTCTTAGAAAAGCAGAAAACTTACAGAAAATAGAAAATAAAATTTATGTGCTATAATGTTTTAGAAAGAATTGTGTGTGTTACATTAACTAATAATGAAATTATAGTTAATGGCTGTTGCCGATAGCGACCGTTAACGCCGTTATTTTAATTAATATCGTTCGCAAATGGTAACTCTAAGAAAGAAAAAACCCGAACAGTACGTTTAATTATACATAGCTAGTTAAGAATGAACGGATTAAAAAGAAGTCGTGCTATATTGGCTTGATTTAATCAACTTGTATGGTAAAATGGGTCTGTGTCAGAGTGTAAACTGCACAATTGCTGTATATGTATTTGATGTTTATTGGATTATTTAAATTCATTACTTTAGTCTCAAAGTAACCTTTACTGTTTCACAGTTTTTTGTACTATATATTTAATTTTTTTTTTTCAAAATAAAATTAAGTTTTGATAATAAAGAGTGAAGAATATCAATATTCAGTAAAAAAAGTGCTTTATCAATTATTGAGCGAAAAGTTTACTTAAGAAAACAACTTTTACTCTTAAAAGTTTTATTCCTCCCCCGTTATTTCTATTATTTCAACTAACTGTTCAAAAGTCAGAACGTGGAGCTCAGACCTAATTTCAGGCACGTTGAAATATTATTTATTAAACCAAGAACTTTAGATAATGTTTCTATTTTAGTTTCTAAAGGATAGTTTTGTAGAAAGGATTATCTTAAAGCATAAAGCTTGAATAACGAAAGGATAAAACCAGAAAATTCAGGAAACTAAATAGTGTCCTCCTACTTCTTCTTATTTAAGAAGGGTTCATAAGGATTTTATTTTTGTAATTAAGCAACTTTAGGGATAACCAGAAAATTTTGACGACTTTCAGACTCAAGTTATGACTTATAGTCTAATGAGTATGGAAAACTACAATTGTGCAGTGTAAACAGACCCATTTTACTTATATATGATTTGATAACTGTCTAGTAAAACTATTTGCTTAATCAATTAGTCCAAATCTCTGTATTAACTAAATTGAAATTTTTCATTAAAATATTAATAATATCAAATATCGGAAATAGAATTATTATTGATCAGTTTCCCTCTCTCAATGAAACTCCTGAGGGATTTAATAATAACCCCAGCATTCAGTCCACGTAAAACTATTTATACAATCGTTGTCGTAAATATTAATGAAGACTAATTTATATTTCAATTTTATATCTACCAATCTTTTAAACAACACTAACAGCACATAGAAACGAAGAGAAGTTTGTTTACTTGTAAACTTGTAATTTAAAAAATGCTTTTTAGGGGTTAGAGCATTATTAATAAAACGTCGTCTTCATTGTATTGATATATTTGCCGACTACTGTACTCAAAGAACATTTATATCCCTCATCCAAAATCCGTTAAAAATAGCGTAAAAGTCTTTATACCTAAATATTAAAAAAAAACTTGGGAACTCAGCTTTGCCATGAAACAAATTTTCATTTATAAGAGTCAACCAATTCAACCAAGAACTTTTAAACCTCTTACCTAACTAATAACATTAAGGCACGCAACTAAGACCACCCATAACCTGATGAAGGGGGGCATGCCCCTAAATCTAGAACTTAAGGTTCAAGCGAATTCTGTAGTCAATATCAATCCGGATACGACTCAGTCTATATTCTCAGCTGTATCTGTCTTACAAGATGCAACTCAATCAGGAACTCAATGTTCACACGAATACCATAGTTGATATCAATCCTGATACAACTCGGTCTGTATTCTCAGGTATCTATCTTACAAGACACCACTCAATTAGGAACTCAAGGTTTACAGGAATAGCATAGTCAGTATCAATCCGGATATGACTCAGTCTGTATTCTCAGCTGTATCTGTCTTACAAGTTACAACTCAATTTAATTCCCAATCTAAATCTTTCTTTTTAGAAAGTGATTCAGGATGCTTCTCATGTGCTAACCAAGAAACAATTACTCTCACACCGTAATCAAAGTGGAGTTTTATTCTAACTGACGTTTATTTTGATTTGTATGTTTCAGGTTAAGTTAATGGACTTAATTACAAGTTTTACATTGTTACATACAAGTGTAGTTAAGGTTATCACAAAACAAGTTTAAGTTAGTTACTAAAATACATATTTAGATTTACAATCAATTTACAATGTGATTTATCTAGGTGTGTTTAGGTTCATAACTATGGAGTTATTTATCATTTATTTTCAACATTTTTCAGCAACTCCGCATCCTTTCCTGTTTTGTTTCCATTCTGCTATCTCATCCGAAAATAGAGAATACATGAATGTTCTTTTATCAAACTTTCCAGAGTCCGAATTTAATGAATTTGAGCCGTGTCTCAAATCCGCCAAAAACCGGTTTCAATTGAGCGACTGCTTAAATCATGAAACATTGGATACAATTTTAAGTGGAACCAAACATATTTAAGCCGTCGCTTAAATTTAAGCCGCGGCTCAAATTCTTAAAATTTGGTCTCAGGTTTCAAAGAATTCTCTGGCTGTTTAGATTCATCATTAGTGCAAGTAACCGGGAACTGGTACACAGGAACTTGTTCTCATTCCTGCTGTAGACCTCATTTGGAAGCTGATGACAGACCTCTCTTATTTTGCTTTAGCATTTCGGTCTGGGAACCAGTTTTAAAAATCTGTTCTGGAACATCATGGGGGGATTCCGGGGGTAATTATTGTATTTTTTCTCTCTTTATAATGATGACTGTAAGCCTCGTTTCTCTTTCTCCGACTCTGAACCTTATTTCTCCCGAGGATTAGACCCATACTTCTCCCGTCTCAGAAGAGTTAGTCCGTATCAGTCAAGCAGAATACATCGACCAGATACTAGGCACTTTCTCAAATAATGTTAGAAATAACTAATAACTTATTTAATAACTCACACATTATTAGTATCATAGATCAATCTTTATCATTCTGACAGGACACTTGCTAAGATTATGTTAGAAATAGCTTATAATAACTTATTTAATAACTTACACATTGTTAGAATTAAAGATCAAACATGATCTCCACATACGTTTTTCGGACAACATTGCGATACTTTCTCAACTAATGTTAGAAATAGCCAATGAGTTATGAAACATCTCACACATTGTTAGAAATATATGTTTAACTTGATGAGTCTGTCCGCCATTGCTCATCAATCAACATTAACCGATACTTTCTCAGATAATGTTAGAAATATCTAATAACTTATTAAGCATGGCAGACATTGTTAGAATTAGATATCAACCTATATCAAACTATTATAAGCTATAACATGATGAGGATTTGTTAACACAGACAAAAAGACTTTCTTTATTTTTCAGTAAAACACCAATAACCATACTATATATATTGCATAGAGGAAAAAACGTATATTGTTATTCGTAATCTTGAACAAAAAGTTACACTTACTTGTCAATTAAAAATCTTCTTTTTCAGGTAAAATGGACGAACCATTGCTCTCATACCAATGAACCCGGATTCGTGAAACCAAGAGAAAACTCACCGACAAAGAAGAGAAGAGAACATAACGAGAAAAAGGTAATTTTATAGTGTTTTTTATTAGCACATGCACACCTACTCCCCCCTCCCCCCCCTCCATATGGGCAGCCCCACACCTTCCATTTACATTTGTTAAATTGCACATCTAAAGTTCTTATTCAAGAAAATAAGCTCTCTTGTATGGTTGAAAATTACCCAACTTTTTACTCAAATCCAATCATAAACAATTTTGAAAACTTAAATATTTAATTTAACTAAAATAAGAAGGGAAAATTTAATCTTTAGTTATAAATTGCAAACATTTTGCGAGGTTTGCACTTTGCAGTTTGCACAAACTGTTCCCGCGGCATCCAACCCAAATTAAATTTTTTTGTAAACATTTCTAAGATTTTACGCGCTTCTTATTTATAAGTTAATATCAAAATAGTTATTTTATATTTTTATTTTAAAAACATTTTTACGACATCTTTAAGGAGCGAGAGCTAGGCTTAATTTTAAATGATCTTTATTTAAAAGTATCATTTCAGATTCACAACGGTACCCTTAAACGCTTTATCTAATCAAGGGTTAATTTGATATCCATGTTCATATAATTTTGAAAACTGAATATTTTCAGTTGTGGTTTCCCTGTAAATTTTAATGCAGAATTAATCAGAATTAAAAGCTATTAAAAAGGCAAAAATGTCTATTCTTACTAAAAGATTATCTATTAACATTGAAAACTAATTAATATCAATTAAGTTCACATTAAACTTATTAGTTTTAACCAGCAAACTATTAAAGTTGCTGGATAACGTCTTATTCAATAATAAATTATTTTTTAAAATGTTTTTAATAATTTTTTCTCTGTAGAGGATGCTGCGCCCCCCCCCTTCCACATACCCCCGGCCCAACAGTTTCTATAAACCTTATTTAGAGAAGATGTTAAATTTAAAAGGAAAAATAATTTTCATTACCTTTAAATAAAAGTGTTGACGAGAAATATAAGATAAAAAAAACAAGAATACTGTTATAAGCTTGGTTATAAGTAAATATATTTGTTTTTTATCTTGAAAAATTGTTAAAAACGGTACAAAATGTATTATGAACGCTGTCTGTTTTCTAAACACTGTATTAAATGTTAAGAACTCTGTTGAAGATTTGTTTTAACCGCTGTGCAAAATGTTTCCGAAACACTATAAGATGTATTCTAAACACTGTTTAAAATGTTTTATGTTTTTAAACACCGAACAAGACGTGTTAAACACTGTAAAAAGTGTGTTTTGAATAATACCAACATGTCCTGAATAACGTACAAAATCTGTTTAATACACTGAACAAACTGTGTTATAAACACTGTACAAAATGTGTTATAAACACTGTACAAAATGTGTTATAAACACTGTACAAAATGTGTTCTGTCCTTCTCTATTTTCTATTTGATAGAAGACAGTAAAAGTTCTTCTATAATAAATTCAAAATTCAATTTATCAGGAAAAAAAATCAATCTCTCGTTTTAAAAAGTTTCAAATATTTGTTTTATTCACATTTATCTCGAGGCCGAATTTAAAGAATTTGAGCCGCGGCTCAAATATGGTTGGTTCCACTTAAAATTTTATTCAAGTTTTGATTTAAGTCGGCTCTTAATTGAAACCGGTTTTTGGGGGATTTGAGACGCGGCTTGAATTCATTAAATTCTGACGTAGGTTAAAGATCCTGAAAGGTTCCGTCAGGCCTTATTACGGATCCAAATTGATCCGAAAAAAAATTGAAAAAACAAGAAAAAAGTTTGCTTTCATGTAATTGAAGGAGCCATAAGCTGCCCCCTAATTTCCAGAGGGATCACTACCCCTCCCCCCATTTTCCTTAACCCGCCTCTGTTTTCAATAATATAAAAAAGCTTGATTAAGTCAGAAAAATGGAAAAAAGAAATTTTTTTCTGTAACTATATAATCTCTAATCTTACCCTCTGATACAGAGAAAATATGTTTTCACAAAATTAACTATGATGGGGTTTTATATATTTTTATGACACTTTTGTGCACTTGTTTTGATACATTGAGATGCTTTTTAGTTATTTTAATTTTACTTTATGGTGCAGTAGTCAATTTAATGTTATTGCGAGATGAATGTCCACAGAGTACGGAATACATAGAGAAAAAATAAGAGCGATCCCTCGGTGTGAATATTTTCAGTCAGAAAAGTAGGTTAAAGTGTACATTTCTTGTAAATACACAGCAGAATATGTTCCCTGGAAAATCCACAACAAGTTGTTCTTTTCTTTCAGTTGTAAAATTAACTTGCACTTTAATAAAATCATTATTTGATTTAAGATTCAAAAGTCAAAATCATTTTTATTTAAATTGTTTTTCTAAAAGGAATTTCTGGGGCCCCAAAGGTTCCATTCCATCAATTTGTAAAGAACGCAGTACGCAGTACGGTTATAGAACAAAAAAATTGTGGTATTTTGTACTTAAAAGCACTCAATTCATTATCTGTTCGGTGGAGGTGTGACGAGGAGTATGAAATAGAAGAGAGATGAAACTGAAGCGTCCCGCCCACCATATGATTATAAATGCTTTGCAGATTGTATTTGTATAAGAAATTTTTGTCTGATGTGCAATTACCGCGTATGCAATAACCTATTCTGAATATTTCATATACAAATGGAGTACCGTCTGCAAAGCATGTATAATCAATAATCATATGGTAGGGCGGGCCGTTTCAGTTGTATCTCCCTTCTATGTCATACTCCGTGGGGTATGATTATTGATTATAATTGATAATATAATAATATAATTGCTTTTATGAAATTGATTTATGAATTTTCAGAAAAAGTATATCCCAACACACTGTTACAGTGCAAGTGTGGAAGTTGAACAAACAAAAATATAAAATAATGACAAATTTTGAAATACATAAACCGACACATTTGGAAAAAATTTGTCCGTAATATTAAACTTACAGAAATAAATTAGAATTTACAAACACTTTTCGCAGTTTAGAAATATTAGGATTTAATGTTGTTGTTTGATATCCCTAACCTCCTGTTCATTATATCAAACAAATGTCGAAACATATTCGCTAGTTAATTATTCCAAACCAAATGTTAGGTTTTCTTCTAACAGTAAATTCTTTACTATAGGATGAGTGAGTTTACAGATGATATAGAGATGGGACTGAACAGTGACAATAGTTTGGATGAATACTTCCTTGATAATGATACCTTTGGCTTGAATAATAGTTCCAACAGCACAGGTGGTTCTAATCCTGAACTAGAGATGGTCATACATTCCTTTACTCATGATACTCAGGTAAACATGTAGATATTTCCGCTTCTTCAACGAATACAAAATTTTGCGCATTTTCCGGAATTTTGCTAAATTTTACATTTACTTCTTGATTTTTTGCAAACATATCCAGATTAACTGTTTAAATTAAATTTAGTTAACACTTTTTTCTTCAAAAAGAAAATATTTACAAAGAAGTTTTAGTCAGACACACATTATTAATCTTGGCACACTCCTTGTGTGAATGGCAAAAAAGTTATCCGAGGCTGGTGATGCGAAGAAGAAAATAAAAAGGATAAAAATAGAAACAGGGTATTTAAAAATATAAAGAAAATTTAGTAACCATTTGAAATATTCAAGATTTACCTAATTTTTCTTGAAAGTAAATTGTTGAAAAACTCCTTGAAATATTGTCCGTCTTTTCTAAGCTTATTGGGAGATCCTGTATAGGATAATTGGCAATCAGTGGAAGGATGGAAGGACCTTATTACATTTTTGATCTATTCATGAAGGTTATCTGACCGGGTCCAAACTACGCAGAGACCTTTCATCCTGAGGCTGAAACTTTTTTGCGCTAATTCCCATTCACTGAACTTGATATCCACGACATAAACTTTTAAATTGAAGGAATTGAGTTTAATTTGAGTAATTCAAACTGCGCTATAATTTGAAAAATATGGTTTCTTTCAAATTTCATTGTTAACCCTTGACATCTGAACAGAACTGAGTTCTTGACACTTGATAAGTGAATTGATTAAATGATTAAATGATTGATTGATTGATTTAGGTTCTGAAAGGCGTGACTCACTTTGCAGTTATTTCTGCATACACGGTTCTTTGCCTCTTCTCAGGTTAGAAAAAACAAAATTAAGAAAACAATTAGAAAAAAATAATAAAAAAATAAAACTATGATAAAGTGGGGACTGGGGTTTCCTGGCAAATTCCAGGGTTGCCTTCAAATGATAAGACTTCACAAAGGACTGTTCGAGATGTATTCAGTCCTATACTATACTTTAGTGGTTCAGTGCAACTGCATAACTTTTTTGGCAAATCATTATTATTTATACCAATAAAGAATTTAGCATTATTATCATTATTATTGTTATTGGGGTTTTAAGAGTTTTTGGTTGTTGCTAAAGTCTTATTCTTTGTGAGTAACCCTGTTTGTAATCAGCTTTATTATATCCGAAATTCCTCACTGTAAAATATTGATATTGATAATTTTAGTGATTGGAAATTCTTTGGTGATGTTTGCTTTCATGGGCAGAAAACAGCTCAGAACAGCCAGGTAGTTAATTCAGTAACAGTACTAGGAAACAGCTGCAGTAACAGCCAGGAAGATACTTCAGTAACCGCGCTAGAAAACAGCTGACTAACAGCCAGTAGGGCTGGGCACGTTCCAACTTTTTCTAGCCGTTTTGTTAACGGTTAGTTCCAACCGTTAAAAAATAAAAATTTTAGTTTTCCGTTGATCTTAAAGGTAAGAACAAAACGTTTGTTCCGTTAACGGCATTTTCCGTTTTATAAAAAATTTGTCAAACGCCGTAAGTGCTCAAATTCCCTGTCTTCTCTACATTCTCTACATTTTTCTTTTAACAGTCATTGCTTAAAAGCTGAAATTATTTTCATTATTTTATTTCACTGGTAAAGAGTTAAGAAAAAATTAACATACTAACAAGCAAACGTTACCACACTGTGATAATGTACAATGCAATATGAGTTTGACAGTATGAAGTAAAACCTCAGAGTATATATATTCTGAGAGTAAAACCAAGTGACAAACAGAAAGGAATACATTTTCATTTATCCAAAAAAGCAAAACTTTCTGAATCTACATCTAAATCTGAACCAGGAACTTTTCCATTTGGATGGCAAGAAACAAACAAAAAAGGGTCTAAACAGAAAAAACAATGCCAGGCTTATCAAGATCCATGTTAATAAAAAACTAGATTTTACTTGTTGACAATAATTTAAAAAAAAAAAAAAACATATTTTCATAGAAAATCTGTGTTCCGTAGAAAAATTCTGCTTCCCTTATTTCCATAGACACACTATATAAGGATGCAGTAGAACCAGGGAGTAATGAATAGAATAACTGACGCGGCTCGCCCTACCATGATTATACATGCTTTGCCGACGGGTACTCCATTTGTATAAGAAATATTTGTCTGGTGTACAATTACCGCGTTTACAATAACCTATATTTTGAATATTTCTTATACAAATGGAGTACCCGTCTGCAAAGCACGCATAATCATATGGTAGGGCGAACCGGGTCAGTTATATCTCCCTTCTATGCCTTACTCCCTGAGTAGAACCATAGAAAATATTACACATCAACTCTGTGACAGTACACAATACAACCATGTGACAGTGTCTGTGTGCAGAGTAAGTTTTATTTATATTTAGATCTTTAACATATCATTAGAGGTCATTAATATTCAATTTGATTTTATTTTAGGAATTTCGATCACTAATTAGGCGTGCACCCAAAAAATTGGAAGATTTGAGCCAAAAATGAAGGCAGGCCCCCCCCCATGTGCCAACTCCACCATCCCCTTTACGATAGATTAACACAATAGAAATAATTGAAATAATAATATTTAGTTGTAAAATTTAAAAAATTCAAAATTAGTGGGAAATTTTTGAAATTTTAAGCAGAAAAAAATGAAATAACAAAATTCACCGTTTTTTAAAAATTAGTTTTTTTTCAAAGACGACTAATCCGTTTCGTTAACAATTTAAAAATTAACGGTTTTTGCCGTTCTTTAATGGACTCTTCCGTTAATTTTCGAAAACCTACATTCCGTTAATAGAACTTTGCCCAACCCTAACAGCCAGGTAGATACTTCAGTAACTTATAACTTATTAAAATATCTAGGAAACAGCTATGAACAATTGATTATTACAATCAATTAAGGTATATAATTATTCAAAGGAATTATAAAAGTGATTTCAAAAGATCCTCAATTGTAGAAGGGTATGTAATTGATTCAGTATTTAAACATATGCCTTTTAAAGGATCATGGAGATATCCTTATTTTTACAGATAAAACTTAGTGATAGTGTATACACTCAAGTTTTTACTCAGTCAATTTTTAACTAAATAAAAGAAAAAACAATTGTTAAAAGGTATTATTGTAAATTAAGCATGCCACTCTATAATGGAGGCCACTTAAAGTTACGTCTACAGACCCTTTAAGAACAATATTTTTTTTAAGGAACATCTTCATCTTCAACTTGGCATTCTCAGACTTGCTGTTCTCTCTGACCATCCCGTTTACAGCACTGGATGGACTATCCAATCATTGGCCACTAGGGGACTCAATTCTGGCTTGCAAGTATGTTACTGTTACAAAGCACTGAAAATGAAAACTTCGGGTCGGTATTAATTTTTTATTGTTATTCTTATTTCAGGTTTGTAAAGACTATGCCTTGCATTGCAGTGTTTATGTCCTCTCTAACCATTGTGGCAATTGCCCTAGACCGATATAGAGTTATTGTTTCTTCATCCGGCAAACAGGTGATTTTATACATATCCCTGATACAGCTGGCGAACAAACAGGTGATTTTATACAAAACTCTGATACAGCTGGGGAACAAACAGGTGATTGTATACATAACTCTGATACAGCTGGGGAACAAACAGGTGATTTTATACATAACTCTGATACAGCTGGGGAACAACCAGGTGATTTTATACAAAACTCTGATACAGCTGGGGAACAAACAGGTGATTTTATACATAACTCTGATACAGCTGGGGAACAAACAGGTGATTGTATACATAACTCTGATACAGCTGGGGAACAAACGATCCCCCTCTCTCTATTTTTCTGCCTAACCTCTCTCATTTTTGAGACTGAAGTCTTGGAACTTCTTTATTTTTACCCATTAAACAGAACTGGATGGAACAACTAGTTGTCTAAACTTGGTGTTAACGTACACTGACCAAAAATTTAAGTTTAAGTCAAGATTTTTGCCACCAGATTTCGCCCAATTTGTGTTAACACTCAGTTATGGCACGTATAAATCCACTTTGAAACTTAACTATAACTACACTTCTGGATGGCAAACGTGGGTTAAAACTCGTCTTTAAAAATCTCTGTTTGCTGGGTCAAAGGATTTTAGTAAAAACTAATTTTAGAAATTAATACAACAGGGTACATAACTTAAATGTTTCACTGGATATGATGATTAAGGAACAATGTGTAAATGTGTGTATGGTAGATTAAATATTTAAAATTTGTGTATATCCGGGACTCCGGGAGCTTAATTGATACATACATTATTCTCTGAAAATGAAATTGTTCAACATAAACATAAAAGAAAAGATAAACAATATAATATTAAAACATAAATGTATTTTATAAAAAGAATGACTAAGGTTAGGCAGCCATTTGTATAAAACATCCTTACTTATATTATACTTTCGGCATTTTCTGAACAAATTTAAATCTTCTCGTTTTCTCATTCTTTTATCTGAACATTCCCTTTCATTAGATCGGAGAACTTGGAGCCTGGCTTCTTCTCCCCTTCATCTTCATCCTCTCCTTCATTCTCTCTACCCCGGTACTGATGGCCTCTACCCTCGACTCCCTAGAGAACCTTCTGGTAACTTTTATTATTTTTGTAGTATACATACTTGCGCCTCTAGTGGTAAATCGTACATTAAATTTCAATGGAGTTGAAACCATGTGTACTGTACTCAGCCACTAATGTACTCTATAATTTTTAACTCTATCAAGAACTAAATGGGGTAACAAAGTAACGCTTATACATTGCATAACTCCCCAAAGAGTAATGACAAATTTTTATTTAAAAATGCACCAATTTCAATTAAAAAATCATCGAATGAGTTTACTTTTTTGTAAATAATAATTTAAAATGGCAACTTAAGGAGCAAATTGATAATAGAAAAGGGTGCGCCCTGGCCCCTGAAAGCCTTGTATAAAGTAGATATTATAGATGAGGACAGTTCACATACAATATGTCCATCATTTGAATTTAAAGCATCCAAAGCACCTAAAATGACATTCCTTTATAAAAAGCTGGTTTTTTGGTATGAAACAATTTTCATTTTTTACAAAGGAATGTCATTTACTCTCAGACAAATTAGAATCTGCAATGGAAATTTAAACCCACGAGGGATTCAATAATAGAGAGTAAACGATACATTCATATTGCTAACAATATCAATTTTTTGTATGCTTTCAATGATAGGAATAGGAATATTAAGAAATGAATGATAAGAATGCTTATATGAGTGTGAACTGTGCAGTTTTTTTTATAAATTCAGTTCTAAACATTTTTCGTCTTTGCACACTCAACAGTTTCTTTCATGATTTTCTTCTCATTTCATCTTCTTTTGTTTAATTTCTGTAGTACTTTCCAATTACAATTTAAAATATTAAAATGAAACTGTTTTCTGTCACCTAAAAAGAGAATCACCATCAAACAGAACTGGATGGAACAATCGTGTTGTTCAAAACTAACAAATGAGCGAGCTTTAATTTAAACCTATAAAGTTCTGTAAAATAAGGAATTCGGGTTTAAATCAAAAATCCCAGACTCATTTATTACATCATAAGTTGTTTACATGAATACTCAAGTGCCGCAACATTTTCCAGAGAATCACATTTGAGATACTGCTGGGGTGAATCCGCATTTGAACTACTGCTGTGTGAACTATTGATCATTTGAACTATTGATCGTTTGAACTTCTGATAATGACGTAATTTCCTGTAGTACAAACAACACATTATTTACTCATGTAAACTAATAAATATGCAGTTTAAACAATCATAACAAACTAGTTTAAATGATCAAAAAATATTTTACCATTGAACAGGAAAATAATTCAAATAACCAAAAAATAGTTTAAAGAAAATAGTTCAAATGAAGCATTTTAATAGCTCAAATGAGCAAAAAATAGTTCAAATGAGCAAAACAAATTTCAACAATTTCCAACACAATAAAATATTTAGGGTTAGGTTAGGCTAAGCCACTTTCTGGGCTGAGCGTGAAGCTAGGACAGGCTAGGGGGCCGAGCGCAGCGGCTAGGACAGGCTGACTAACTTTATCCATGTGTTAAATATGAGATGCTCGAGTGTTGTGTCAACTATTTTTTGGCACATTTTAGCTATTTTTTGCTCATATGAACTATATTTTTGCTCATTTGAACTATTTTTTGGCTCTTTTTAACTATTTTTTTCTCATGAAATATTAGTTGGCTCATTTGAACTATTTTTTTGCTCATTTGAGCTACTTTTTGGTTCATTTGAACTATTTTTTGGTTCATTTGAACTATTTTTTGGTTCACATTTTGAACTATTTTTACAATAGTTCAAATGAACAATAGTTTAAAAAGTCAATAGTTCAAACGGCAGTAGTTCAAACTAAATAGCATCGCTGCGGAGACTTCCGCCCTGGGTTTAGATACTTAACTCAATAAAAGTTAAATATTTAAAGTAAAGTTTTAAGTTACGGTTTAATTTAATTCATGCACCAGTGACATTTTAGCTTAAACTTTACATTTAGCTTGAAATTCGCGTTCTTTAGTTTACGAGGTAAACTCCACTTTAACTAAGTTTCTGTTTATTGGGTAGCAAAATTCTTTCATAAAAAAACACAAATCGTATTTGTGAAAACAATTTTTTTTAAAGGGACTGTTGTTGTAATTTTCAGTGATCCTTCATTTGAAGAGTGACATTTCCATGTCACAACGGTACCCTGTTAAACTAAAATCTGGCAAATAGTGTGGAAGATACCTTCCACAACCAGCGCACCACTTCATAGAGAAACTACAATATCAAATAAACACTTTTCAAAGAGAAAAAAATAAATGGCTCATGCATTCTTGGTCAGAAAACCTTTTAAAGGTTTCCGTTGTGTATGGAGCAGGCTGCTCTATACATGGTTAGGTTGAGTATCGAACATGCTGCTCTATACATGGTTCCGTTGTGTATCGAACATGCTGCTAAATACATGGTTCCTTTGCGTATCGAACATGCTGCTCTATACATGGTTCCGTCACGTATCGAATATGCTGCTCTATACATGGTTCCGTTGTGTATTGAACATGCTGCTCTATACATGGTTCCGTTACGTATCGAATATGCTGCTCTATACATGGTTCCGTTGTGTATCGAATAGGATGCTCTATACATGGTTCCGTTGTGTATCGAATATGCTGCTCTATACATGGTTCCGTTGTGTATCGAATAGGATGCTCTATACATGGTTTCGTTGTGTATCGAACATGCTGCTCTATACATGGTTCCGTTGTGTATCGAATATGCTGCTCTATACATGGTTCCGTCGTGTATCAAATATGCTGCTCTTTACATGGTTCCGTTGTGTATCGAACATGCTGCTAAATACATGGTTCCTTTGCGTATCGAACATGCTGCTCTATACATGGTTCCGTTACGTATCGAATATGCTGCTCTATACATGGTTCCGTTGTGTATTGATTATACTGCTCTATACATGGTTCCGTTACGTATCGAATATGCTGCTCTATAAATGGTTCCGTTGTGTATCGAATATGCTGCTCTATACATGGTTCCGTTGTGTATCAAATATGCTGCTCTATACATGGTTCCGTTGTGTATCGAATATGCTGCTCTATACATGGGTAAGTCCCTCGAACCGTGTACTTTTCCAAAAATACACTGTTTTTGCTTTTAGAATTAAAGATTGTTTTTTTTAGGAAAAGATCTTTGGACTTCAAGATCACTACCGAGCTCAAATACAGGGTGTTCTAATCTGTTATGAGGTAGAAATAAATATGATTTCCTTTTTATTTGAAAAAAAAGGTTTTAGCTTGATCCTTGTCCCTTGGTAATTTCCTATTAGTATTACATCCATCTGGGAAATTGCTTATTTTTCATTTCAAAAACTGTCCTACATCTTCAGAGCGTCCCATATCATATTGGATTATGCTCCCAGGTTTAACGTTAAAATACGCTAGTGTTTTCTGTATGCAAATTCTTATATTAGGCAATTACAATTTTTTAAAATGATTAAATTTTTTTAAAATTTTCTAATTAGTCCCGAAAATAGCAATTTATAGCCATAAATGATCTGAAATGATGTGGGAACCCCTGTACTTGCGGGGGAAAACATTAATTGGTATAAAGAAGAGGGGTATTTTACACCATGCAAAAGTTTAATATAATCCTAGTGCATGGTAAAGAAAATCGATGTTAGGTACTTTTCCAAAGGATTTTTCCCAAGTGGCAATTTCATAAATGTGCAATTTACCAAGCGGCAACTTCCCATCTATGTCCCAGCCGCAGCGCTAGGCCCCCAATCTGTTCTAGCCACGGCGCTCGGTCCCCTAGCCGCAGCGCTCGGTCCCCTAGTCGCAGCGCTCGGCCCCCAGTGCAAAGTTGCCGCTTGGGAAATTGTCACTTGGAAAGTTGCCCTTGGGAAAATGCCTTTGGGAAAGTACCTAACACTGGATGGATAGAAACAGAAGATAGATGGATAGAAACAGTAGATAGTTGGATAGAAACAGTAGATAGCTGGATAGAAACAGTATATAGATGGTGAGAAACCGTAGATAGATGGTTAGAAACAGTAAATGGATAAATAGAAACAGTAAATGGATGGATAGAAACAGTAGAGAAATGGACATAAACAGCAGATAGATGGATAGAAACAAAAGATAGATGAATAGAAACAGGAGATAGATGGATAGAAACAGAAGATAGATTGATATAAACAGAAGATAGTTTATTAAGTTAGTCTACCTTTGCGTGCCGCCATGCATCCTATAATTATAAACTTATATAACACAAACACACATGCACACATGTAACCATCAGTTGTATAAATGTACGATGTGTATTTTTAATGGAAACTAAATTGTTTCATAACTTATTAATCATGAATCGAGTCTTTGCTAAGAGGTCAAACTTGTAATCCCTATATTTTCGCAACCTAATTGTCTAACCATTTGATATTTCAAATTTGGATTATTTGATCTGAAAGATTTATAGTTTTTAATATCTAAGGTATACAACCTTAGGTTGCAAATATTTTTTTTGAGGTACTAGCTAAAGTACCCGGTGTTGCCCGTGGAATAATTTGAATTTTGAAAAAAAAATTAAATGTTGCAAACAAAATTTCGAAGAACTTTATTATATAGATTAAAAAATGGGAGAATGAAACAAACGTGTAATAGCCATTTTTTCTGTAAATTGCATTGACCCCGACGAGTTCTTTTTTGAAGTTCCTGTTTTGAAGGGTCAACAGTTCGCTTTTAAACTTTGGGTAATGTAAATCAATTAATTCTCATCTTCTTGACTTTTACGAACTTGACTTGACTTGACTTGACTTGACTTGACTTGACTTGACTTGACTTGACTTGACTTGACTTGACTTGACTTGACTTGACTTGACTTGACTTGACTTGACAAAATTAAATAAGATCTAAAACTCTACGTTAAAACAAATTAAATGAGCCGCTAAAAAGTAAAACCATATTTACATTCCCAAGAGACAAAGAACAGAAATGCGCAAACTGTAATTTATTCAACTTCACGTTTCTTGTCGGATTAATCCTTTAAAAATAAACCTTAAAGGGACTGTCGACGTAATTTATATCATCGTTATTTTGAACAGTTAAACATTTTAAGTGTTAAAAGCGTTACATTAACAACATTACCCTTTAATCCTTTATCTGAGAAACAATGAGAAAGATATCGTCTGTTTTATTTCTTGAAAATTTTAAAATTATAATTTCTTTTAAATTAATTCCTTTCATCTTATTTTCTATTGTAGGATTGGACCTTTGGAGTTAAGAGACAGGCATCTAAGCATGATAGAATATGGTAATTTTTTAGCAACTAAAAAATTGGTGTCTTTTTAGTTATTTTTGTTTAATTTAAAAAATCTGACATTTTGTTCTTAATTCAAAGCAAATGTTTTTAATTTTAAAATATTTGAATTCTAATTAACAAATTTTAAACAAACTGTTATATTTTCAAGAATTAATTAATTACAATTTTTACAATATTCAATTTGCAATATTTACAGTAATTAATTTACAATTCTTAAACTATTCAATTTTACAATTATTAAACTATTCAATTTACAATTTTTAAAATATCCAATTTACAATTCTTACAATATTCAATTTGCAATTTTTACAAAAATTAATTTACAATTATTAAACTATTCAATTTACAATTATTAAACTATTCAATTTACAATTTTTAAAATATCCAATTTACAATTCTCACAATATTCAATTTGCAATTTTTACAAAAATTAATTTACAATTATTAAAATATTAAATTTGCAATTGCTACAATATTCAATCTATAATTATTACAATATTCATTTTACAATTCTTAGAATATTAAATTTACTCTCAATACAGTATTCAATTTACAATTTTTATAATATTTAATTTGCAATTATTTTTAATTTTTAATTTACAGTTATTACAATATTCAATTTACAAGCATTAGTTATTACATTATTCAAAGCCATTAGTAAATAATAAAAAAATAACATATCTATTATCTACGTATACACTAGATTCCTAAAATGTCAATCTTTGTAAAAGCTATTCTTTAATCAAGAAAATGTTTTTCTATCATCTGAAGGCCTCTATAAAGGTTGTGTTAAAAAATTACTTTTAAAGAATTATTTCTACTTGATGTTTGTTATTGTAAATTAAATTTGCCAGACATCTGAAGAAATTCAATGCCTTGAAGAACAAAGGTTTCTTGCAAATGGATTCTTGCAAAATGTTTAACATCTCCTTTTTTTTTCAAACATATAAAAGCCTTTTTCAAATAAAAAATAATACAATTACACTCTTCATTGAAAATCAAATTGAGGAGGAATTACGAGGTTGCAAATTCCCATTAGTACAACCTAATGCACTGTAAGAATGTTTAGATTTGTCCGTGTGAAATACAATGTTACAAAGGATGAGACTTTACAGACGACTGTACGGAATTCACACCGCCTGTTTCTTCATATTAATGATTCCCTTCAACTGTAAACTTGTTTCTGTCTTTGCCCGATCATTAAAAATGCCATAAAAAGACTATGTTGCAGGCAAAAGAATTAATTCAACCTTCAAAACGTAATATTTAAAGAGTTTTATGTCGTCTTTATAGTTTCATCCTTTGTGTACAACCCTGTAACTCCTGGTATAAACAGTTGTTTTCTTTTATCGTATTTTAGCCAATTTTCTTAAAATTGTGCAGTGAACGTTCCCAATTCAAAAAAAGTGCACATTTTTTTAAACGAATGCTTTTTTGAATTGTAAAAAAATCTAATTTTAGGTTCACAGTGTACTCCAGTGGAATCCAGTTCTTGATTCCTCTGATCATCATCTCCGCCATCTACTGGAGAATATACCTCTTCCTCAAGGTATTATAATTATTGTTGTTATTTATATAACTTTTATTATTATTTTTATTATTATTATTATTATTATTATTATTATTATTTTGTTACATTATTATATTATTATATCATTATTATAATTATATTATTATTATCTTTATAAATTTTAGTCTTCTCAAAAGTTCTTCAATATTAAATTAAAATCAAATATTAAATTTTATATTATTTGACGTGCTGCATATTTAAATATTAAAGTAATATTTTAGAACATTAATTTTTGTATGTACCCGACCTTGCTAGGACATGGAGAGGTTTACCCTCATATTTTTTAGAACAACCGATATCAGGTCCAGGCTATAAATGAAAAGCAGAGAAAAACCAACAAAATTCTTCTCGCCATTTCAATCACATTCTGTGTCAGGTAAACTGCTTAACCTGGTACGCTCTAACTATATAATAAAGCGCTTTATATGTTCTTTATAGCTGACAAAACAGCCGGCTGGACCAAATTGACTGAATTTTTTCTAAGGGAACCCCTGGGTAACCTGGGCATAACATAGCTAGGGTTAAAAATTACGGAATTTTTTGAAATTATTATTTTAGACCAAGCGCGGGTAAACGGCGGGAGTAAGACTGTGTAAACTGGACAATGCCCAGCATTTCAGCTAGTAATTGTAATAAATAAAAAATTTCGAAGACTATTGCGGATTTGCCATTGAAAAGATGCCGTTTTTTTTAAGTGACAAGTCCAATTCACAATAGTACCCTGTTTACCTTTATCTGAGTAACCACGAGGAAGATATCTTCGTTTTTTAAAACTATTTTTGTTCATGTTTTTTCAACAGGGTTTCAAATGTCACTTTTATTGAGAAACCACAATTACAAAAAAAAATTTTGCTATAAGGGAACCGTTGTGAATAAGACATGTCACTTGCTTGCTTAATAAGAATCCTTGATGTAAAGTGAACTTGTTATAAAAGCCCACGCGCATTGGACTATTTGAAGTCATAACCTGAGTCTAAAAGTCGTCTTCCTATTTCAGAGTTTTCTGGTTATCACTGTACTTTTAACAGACGTAAACCTAAAATATTATTTCATTTGAACTTTATGATTTCTTCAGCTGGTTACCGTTCAGCGTGTTCTGTCTTCTCAGTGAAATCTTCAACTTGTTTTCCGATCCAGGTAAAACATAGTTTAACGTTAAATTAATGTAAATTACATATTGATTGATTGAGAGAAGAACAATAAAAAATTTATTTTCTTATTTGTAACCGGATAAATTTGGTTTTTTCTTACTTGTGCGTAAAATCAAAACAAAGATCTACTAGGTCACAAAGTACTAAATTTGGCCTTCTTCTTCTAGTTCACTGTGTTTTACTTTTCAAAACGCCATAAAAAAATGATAATTCTGAAAATATGAATCTGCTCTATGACAATAAAAAGTTCTTACGTTTGTTTTAAGCATAATATGTATATTGTATACCCTGAAGTTAAAACTTTTGTTAAAACACATTTTAACGCAAAAAACTAAATTTATAGTTTTAAAAAAATGCATTTGCTCAGTGACAAAAAATCTAGATTTTTTAGTCAACAATTAAAAGTTAAAATCGAAGATTGGCGCAAAGCGTTCTGAAATCTTGTACGCTTTACCTCATTAATTTTAATAAAAACGTACTCTGTGTTCATGGGAATTTTCTTTATTCATATTTCACTTTTTTATGAGAAAAATACTTTTTTTAATGTTCGTCTTGTTGTTTTATTAAAGGAACTGTAAGCGTAAGACCCTCCATACAAAGCTGGCAATATCCGATCCACGACAGTACCCCCTGAGACCTTTATCTGATCATTTATGTGGAAGATATTTTCGGTTTTCTAGGTTTAAAATTGCTAAATTGTTTTGCATTGAGGGTCCCTTTAAATTTAGCTGACAGTCCCTTTATTTTGTAGAGAATATGATGCTTGTATTCTGTTTGTGTCATCTCCTTGGACTCACCAGCTCCTGTTCTAATAGTATCCTGTACGCTTTCCTTAATGATAATTTCCAGAAGGTAAGTTTCAAATACATTTTTAACGAGGGGTGTATGTTTCCTTGAAAGATCATTCCCTCTATCCTCTTTTTTAAAATAATTTTTTTCCCAAGAAGATTTTAGGGTTTTCATTAAAATAGGGAAACAAAATGATTTTTAGGGGAATAAAGATAACAGTTTAGGTAAAGTACATACAATATAGATAACATTTTAGGTAAATTACATATAATATAGATAACATTTTAGGTAAAGTACATATAATATAGATAACATTTTAGGTAAAGTACATATAATATAGATAACATTTTAGGTAAAATACATATAATGTAGATAACATTTTAGGTACATATAATATAGATAACATTTTAGGTAAAGTACATATAATATAGATAACATTTTAGGTAAAATACATATAATGTAGATAACATTTTAGGTAAAGTACATATAATATAGATAAAATTTTAGGTAAAGTACATATAATATAGACAAAAGTTTAGGTAAAATACATATAATATAGATAACAGTTTAGGTAAAGTACAAAGAATATAGATAACAGTTTAGGTAAAGTATATATAATATAGATAACAGTTGAAGTAAAGTACATATAATATAGATAACAGTTTAGCTAAAGTACATAGAATATAGATAACAGTTTAGGTAAAGTACATATAATATAGATAACAGTTTAGGTAAAGTACATATAATATTGATAACAGTTTAGGTAAAGTACATATAATATAGATGACAGTTTAGGTAAAGTACATATATCATAGAAAACAGTTTAGGTAAAGTTCATATAATATAGATAACATTTTAGGTAAAACAGTGTAAACATGCAAGGGACATTGCTTTTCCTTTGATTATATGTCTTTATTTCTAATTTCCTTAATATGTTTATGATCCTAGTACAACAGGGATTTACAAAAGAAAATATTTATAATTTATATATTTGTTAATCATAAAAGAGTCTCTATTTCTCAAATACTCATTTAAGCTTTTGCTCTCTTCAAACATTATTTTTTTGCTTTTCATCAAAGAATTTTTATACTTTCTATACTTTAAAAACAAACAACATAAAATATCTTTAGACATTTTACGAAACATTTTTTTAGAAAAGATAATTTTTATAAAAATAATTTTTAGGAAATTTTCCAAATATTTTCCTGTTTCAAACAATCACCGAGGTTTACCAGACGCACACAGACTCCCAGAGAGAGGGTAACTTTAATTTTTAATATAAAATGGACTGTAGACTATAATTTAAACCCACTGTATCAGAGTGTTATGTCCGATTACCCATGGTGCCATCACATTATTTGTCTGAAACAAATAGCCAAGCCAAGAAACATGGTTCACGCAATGCAAAGAAAAACTGAATCATCCAACGACTATTAGTATTTCTGTGGTTAAAACTTAACTCTTGATGACGTACACAAATATAGAGAGGGTCACTTAAACATAATCTACAGTCCCCTTAATTATAATAAAAAAAATTCAATAAAAAGTAATCAATGGATAAATATTTTAGAATCTAAACCAATCAATGATGGTGTCAATGTCCCACTGCTCTTCTTCTTTAATCAAGAAATATCGGAGCAGCAACAAAACTGACTCTGCCCCCAGCAGCCAGCTCAACGGATCCTCGGGTGAAATCATTAACGGGAGTCGAGATCATCTTCTTGGTAACAAAGAAGCGGTTTCCTTCATCCCTATGATCTTCAACAACAACCCTGACACCTGCAAGGGTTCTAACAACTGCCAGAGCTCCAAGACCCTCTATGGATCCACTAGAGTTCAAGGTGCTAATAGCTCCAACCAGGAGATAGCCGACACCTATGTTTAGACGATCAGAGATCTAACCATATGCATAGACTAGATATATACACTACACAGACTGCTAATCAGCTTTCACGGGCTGGGTTTAGTAGGTCTATAGTGGTACCGGTACAAAAGGTTTTTGACCGCCATCTAACCGTCATTAACCTAACCTAACACTTTTAACATCAAATCATAAAACTTATGAATTAAGACTATTTTATATTTTGTATCCAAAGAATCCTTAAATATCCCTGAATACAGACGTTTGCTTATTGGTTGTGTACTCCATTTGTACACGATCGAGTTCGTTGTAGAAAATATCGCATATTCAAACCTTATATATATCTCTGTACTCTCTTATCTCTGGATATAACATTGCATAAAATATCAATAATCACAATTCATGTAATTTATAACCAGATAGAAAAATTTTAAAAATAGATATGTTTTGTAGATTCTGAATGGGCTAACCTTGATTACATAGGAGACAGATTAGTTTTGCTTTCCTAAGGAATCAACATTTAAAAAATTGTATTTTCAGCTTTCTAATAATAGAAGGAATCTAAAAATGTTCTTTTAAGATAATCTTTGATTTTCGACAGCTATCAATAAGTTTCTTTTTTGGACAATTTGAAACTTGTACTGAATCTAAACTCACCAAGGATCAATGAACCTTGAAAAGGATCTTATTACAATAATTACTACGTAACAATTATTGCGAAACTGATTAATTGGTAATAAGAATCCCCTGTTTTGTTTGTTTGTTGGAAGAACGGTGTTTCAACCAATGAGTGGTCTAGACGTGTTTCCAATCGGGACCAATCAGAAGCCAGGATTTTTAAACTTCTGCTAGTCCATTATAAAGTTTTTAACCTAGCCAGTCTGATTGTATCTCAATCAAAAATGTTCTTTTCCTAACTGTAAAATCATGTAAGAGTTAATTTTTGAATGGAAGACAAATAAATTCATATTTTTTCATAAAACCGAATGTCTTAAGCGATGGCCCGGAGCTTTTAAATTGCTACTTAACATTAAATCATATCTTCCATTTAAATTTTTTTTTTCTTCAATTTTTTACAAACTTAATTTTTTTCTTCAAACAATAGACCAATTCAATTTTAGAAATAAAATCAAGCAAAATCCTTAAACTGGGACCAAAGTTGTGAAAATCTGAGCCCACTGTGATTCCTATCTTTGGCTCTTGGATTTCGAGGTGCTTGCTGTTTTTCCTTTCATTGAGTAAAAAAAAAAACAAAAAAACAGAAATTTACATTTTTTAACACAATCATTTCTTATATTTTTTATTTGAGTATAAAAAATTGTGTAGTTTAAAATGGAATGACATGAGTAAATATTGATATAAGAAATTGTAATACCCTCTCTGAAGTCATATAAAATTTATGGACTGTCAACTTATTTTATTGTAGTTCTGTATTGTGTATGTTTAATTGTACAATAGGTATTATTTTACCAATGTGAAACTGAAAACAATTTATTCCAACCGAAACAAAATTAAAATAGATTTTTTGGATCGTTCCCAATTTTTGAGAGAAGTCATGTGATGTAGAAATACAAAATAATAAATTCTATTTTCAAATTTACTAAAAATAATATTTATTCTTTAAAAAAAATATTTTTTAATGAGAGCCCAAAATGTATTTTTCTAAACATGATCTTCAATTTTGAAACTGAGAAAACTAGTGATAAATTGTTTAAGATGTCTAAATTAAAGTGTGGTTTATATGTATCGTATTATTGTTGTCTTTCAAATAGTGATTTTAACATTTCAAAAAAACTAAACAATTGCCTCAAATTGAAATTTTCTAATACTCATATCTTTGAAATCTGATGTTTACAGAACTTGGATATTTTAACTTAGTTGTGCCAAATATAATAGTCAAAGTTTGAAACATTAAGGTTGCAAAGATATATGTGACTAAAAGATTAGAGTTTGAGGCAAATGTTCAGAATTATTAAAACTCGGAATTTCATATAACCAACATCGTGAAGTATAAGTGTTATTAAAATTCTTTGAAATTAAAATCTGAGCTGAAAACTTTTGAAGCGAATATCCTTAATCCCGATCTGTTAATTAATCTGGAGATCAATAACAAGAGGAGAACAAGCTATATTTAATCTGGAGGTAAAGAAAGAGAGAGGATTGATTTCGATATCCACCATTCTAAAGTTTACTGTTCTGTTTTACTTTCTTAATAAAGTAACCCCCTATTTATTGTGATACTGTTATTTGTTAATAAATGTTTTTAAGTATATGATATTATTGAACACAAAAATATTAGAGAGACCATGGGGGGACTATTTTGAATAATATTTTTTAGTATATTTTATTTAAAACACTTTGGTGGTACGTCCGAGAGGAAAGGGGGCGGGGGACATACGTATTTGTTTACTATATTTTATTTTACACACAAAACGGTTATATATATAGAGACTATTTGTTAAATGTTTTTTAGTTTATTTTTAGTTTAAACACACAATTAGATAGGGGGGGGGGGGGCAAAATGTTATGATAGATAAATTTTAAAGGATAATTGGCATTAGTTTATTTTTGAAGATTTAGGCTCTCTTTTCAAATTTATAATTTAAAAAGCATTTCTTATCATTTTAGTCTTTTATTCTCTGTTTTAGTATAAGGCAAAATTTATTATTTTATAGTATCTATAAGTTGTGTAACCTATCGTTTACAAGGTTGTAACAAGTACTTGGTTTGCAGGGTATCACTTGCAGGTATATTTGAACATTGCATTATTCAATACTAATATTGTCTAGCTTATGAACCCGGCACTGCCCAGGTTACTCATAATTAACTCTGCCGTTTACCCGCACTTGGTCGATTTTACCGGGAAACTGCATTTTCGCTTTAAAAGTCGAACTACTCAACTTAATTCTCGAACCCAGTCTTTAAGTTCATTCCCGGGGTTTTTGAGTTATAATCTGACAAACAAACAGAGATCCCAACTTTTTATATATAGATACAGGTTTTGAGATGAAATATAAGAAAGGAGATATTTCTTTTTGATTATCATATTACTTTCAGATGCCCAGACAGAGGTACTGTATTGAAAGGGTGCAATGTCATTTGTAGAAGTCATGAAGTCAAAAATGTCATATGAGACTCTTATAATTGACCCGTATATTTGGTTTAAAATGTAATTTTTTTTTGGATTTGTTTCATAGTTGCATAAAATGTAATCTTTTGTATTTTCATATTCCCTGGGGTTATGTGAGGTCCAACACAAAATTTGGGCCCAATCGGTTCAGCCGTTTTGACGTTTTATGGACACAAGCAGACACAAAAACAGACAGACAAGCACAAAGTATATAAATAGATGTCTTCGTTCTCTTACAAGCTCTTGAGAAGATATTTTGTATTTCCAGAATAACAATAACTGTCTTAAAATATAACTGTTGGAATAATGATGTACGTCATAAAACTGTTCACAAGTCTAGGGCTGGGCACATTCCGAATTTTTTTAAATCGTTCCGTCCCGTTCTAAAACGAGGACTTTCAGTTAGATCTTTCCCTTATCATTCCTTTTTTCAATCGTTTCGTTCTCGTTCCATTCTGTCCTATTCCGTTCCGTTCTGAGTAGAAGAACAGTCATCCCGTTCCGTTCCGTTCTTGGCGTTCTTAGTCGAAGAAGGTTCCATCCCTCCATTTCGTTCTTAGTCAAGAACGTTTCCATCCCCCGTTCCATTCTTAGTAAAGAATGATCCCATCCAAGACAAAAATTTTATAGAAAAGAGTTGGTTAAAAAGTAAAAAAGTAACGATTTTATAATAAAAAGTTCCTCACGGCCGAAAATATACTTTAAATTATATATTTTAAATTTAGGGTTAAAAGAATAAGCTTATATAGATAACTTCTGGGCCGAGTGCAATGTGTAATTTTGTGAGAGTGGGGGGAGGGGCGGGAGTCCTATAAAAATCCTTAAAATGTACGAGTAGCTCAAGGGCCCGGCGTTGCCCGTGCAAACAAATTTCGAATTGTTTAGCCTATAACACCCCTTGGCCATCCACGAGTGTCCACAAAAAAAATCAGCCCAATCGGTCCAGCCGTTTGGGGGATTGCCGAGGAGGGATTGTTCAGGTGATCAAATAAAAAAATCTATTAATTATTTAGAACACATTCCTGATTTAAAATGCGTTCTCGACTTAGAACGCGTTCTTTATAATAAGAACGCATACGTTCTAGAGATGTCAACGTTTTGATTTTTCTAGATTTTAGTTTTCGTTACGATAGTGTTCATCAAAAGTATGAACGTTTGAAACGTTACGTTACGTTGCACATAATTAAATTTTATGGCATAGAGTAACGTTACGTAATGAATTTTCTGCACTTGAATACCTTATACAACGTTAAGCTTTTGTAAATGTTAGAGAAAAAAAGTACGCTTTTAAGCATTTCCTGTTTTAAAAAACTTTCACAACGTTGCGTTGAAGCTTTAGTAATGTAACCACAATTTTTTAACGTTCCACTTTCATGCAAGGTAAATGTTTTCAGAGACCTTACGTTACACTTCCACTTTGTATGAAAACAAAAAGGTGAAAACGTTTTGCTTTAATAAAACGTCTTGTAGGCATAGTTCTGCACGTTGCAATGAATTTCAGTTCAAAGAATATTTTTTTGTTAACTTTACGTTTTAGAATAACTTTTCCAAAATAAACTATTTTAATTACGTGTTAAGAAATTTTACTGAAATGCAACTTTTATTACGTTACGATTTATCGAAACGTTATTGTGAAAACTTTTGTGTTACACTTTTTTACAATTGACAATCAAAACTATTTATTCGTTTCGTTTCTAAGAAAGATTTGAAAAAATGTTCTATACTTTGCCTTGTATTAAAATATTCAAGCCTTAACGTTTCTTACATTACGCTTCATTAAAAATAATATTGTTTCTAAATGAAAGCATGTTTTTTCCGTGATAATTACATTCCTGCTTAAGTATTTTTCATCCTAAAACATGCCATGCAAAAAAATTGTGTTGTTAATCCCTTTTTTACTCACCCTGTATGTTGCTGTTGTATTGTTTACCTTCTTAGAGAATGTGTAGAAGAATATGCATTATGCAATATAAAGATGTTATAATATTATTATTTTTAACGGTTTTTAAAATTTGTGAATGAAAGTATTTAGCAATAGACTTTCAACTCAAGGGTGTGTCGTGAAGGGACTAGAGACGTAATTTCAAGTGACCTTCCATTTATAGAGTGGCATGTCCAGAATACATTTACAAGATAGGAAAACGCTGGTATTTTTAATTTTCAAATCATCAATCAGATAAAGGTATACACTTCTCCATTGGGAATCGAGCATGGCCCTCTTTAAATACAGGATCACATGAAATTATCCTCGTGTATTTGACGAGTTTAAAAAATAGAAATGTTTTGGGACACTTCATAAAATGAATTAAAATTCAGCAAGGCAAACCACTTTTGCATGTTGAACAGTAGTTCTAAATTATTTTACGTTAATTTTGGGTTAATTTTTTCTTTTTTCACTCAATGCAAAGTGACCCTCCGGTGGATTTTCTTGTATCTAACAGAATTCATAGTTTGAAATATCTAAGGTCTACAACATTAGGTAGCAAAGATATCTGGGATTAGAATTATAAGTTTGTGAACAACTCAATTACTTTAGACTTTCTTATCTAACAGAAGTCATAGTATGAAATATGAAAAGTCTACAACACCAGCTTGCAAAGATATATTATATTAGAAAATCATAATTTGTGGCAAATTTTTAGTTCTTTTTGTGTTTTTTTTTATGTTACTTACAAAGTGAGTAAAAAAGCGGCATTAGCTTTAGTTTTCAAACCACAATGAAAATGTTTTCTGAATTCATGTTTGGGGTTAAAATATATCAAATAAAGTAAGACAAAGGCTATATTTTAACGCAAACAACGCGAAATAAAATTTTATAAATTTTTTTAACAAATCGATTAAAAATCATTTTTTTATATTATTCTAAACAACACGCATTTTACAAATGATAAAATATTTTTGCATTTTAGTAAGTATCTACATTTCTAAATTTTTCAACCTCAAACATGAGCCACGCCAACTGAAGTTAGGATTTCAATTAGTCAAATAAACATGAAACACAGCAATTGTGTTATGTTCACAGATCCGTTCCACTTAATAAGTTGATTTTTTTGCTATTAGTAAATCATTTGCTTTATAACAGAAAATGCATATGTAAAATTTCTTAAATGTCGTCTTCCGTTTCCAGACTTTTAGTGGGTTGCATTAAACAATGGCAAAAGAAACATTTATAAAAGAGGGGTTTTATGGCATCTGTATTGACTTAAACTAAATTTTCAAATTATTTTCAGATTTGTTTGGTCAACAAAAACTGAGAATCAAGGCACAGTTCATTTTAGCCGAATCTTAGATCCAATTCGCCCATTTAATGACTGCATTTCGAATGATTGGCGTTAAGATACAAAAAGGTCGGGCAGCCTGTTTACTAAAAATTATCTCATCCCACGCAAAGTAATATCCATCCCCATTTAAAAGATATTTTCAAAAAACCTTTACAGTGTTTAGATTTTTGTATTCGCCAACTCGAGTTCAACATCTACAACAAAACTAATTATAAGCAGAGAAAGTACTTAAAATTTACTAAAAATTATCTCATCCCACGTAAAGTAATATCCATCTCCATTTAACAGATATTTTCACAAAACCTTTACAGTGTTTAGATTTTTGTATTCACCTACTCGAGTTCAACATCTACAACAAAACTAATTATATGCAAAAAAAGAACATAAAATTTTTAAAAATTAGTCTCATCCCACCCACTACTGAAAATGAAGTCCACTAATAATGGGTTAAAGTTTCCTCTCTATATAAGGAGTTTAAAACAACATTCAGAGGAAAATGCCGAAAACATTCTTAAAGCGAAGATTGAAACTAAAAAACGTAATATATTTATAGCACTTAGTGTGGCATATTTATTGCTTTATTTTCGAAACTAAGGAGCAATAAAGAAAGCTTTCACAATATTGTACACCATAGGGCCATTAACAGAGGTCAATATGGTCTTATTTCTAAGAAATAAACGATTTAATGTTACGCTTATTTTGGCTGATTATCAATTCAGGTGGTGGAGATTACCAATTAAGGAACGCGCTTGTCGCAAAACACATTTGGGTGGCGGTGATTACTCGTTGAGGAATTCTGGACTCCCTCCCTCTTTTACTATACTAATAGAAAGCTCTCATTTTCAAAAATTGTAATTTATTTAGCAAAATCCAGTTATATAGTAAAAATCTTTACAAAAGAAACAACTGTCCAAAAGATAATAAAGTATACTTTTTTAAAATATGCAAAATAATTGTTGCAAAATTTTAAATAATCTCATATGGGTCAGTGAAGTTAAGGAAAACTAAAAATGTGCAAATTTCTTTTGACGGGTTGTATGGAAATAATTTGCAAATAAATTTCTTTGCAAAAACTTGTGCAATCCGTTTCCTTCTCATGGGCTTTTCAAAATTCTTAAAGTTATCAAAATCTGACAATTTAAAGTGGGTCAAAACAAGGATTTAGTTTGTTACGGGAAAAAGTAGTCATACAGGCCATTGTACCTGCAGGCAGTTAATGTATAAAAGCCTTTTAGACCTTGGGCATATGGGTATTTAGGAAAAGTTAGAAAATTTTTACAGCCTCAGACCATGCTTTTTGAGTTATGTGGAAAACTACGTGTGGGGGGGGGGTTAGATTGACCACCCCCATTCCCAAATGTGCAGGAAGGGTTAAAGAAACTATTTAAACAGATTTTTGACAGAGAAAAGGCCACCACAGAGAAAATTTTTGAACTATCTGAAAAAATATATTAAAATCAAGCTTTAGCTGCTCCCCCCCCCCCTCCCGTTCCAGCTTTGAATTGAGTCCCAAATTTTCCAGTGCCGGAGGGGAGATTCATCGACAAAATCTCCCTGGGGGCGTATCCCCTTCCCCTAACTCCTTCCCTTGAATCCTCCAAATGGTTCATTTCTTATTTCATATTCCTTCCTTCCCTCTTTAGTTATTTCCTTAAATTCCATATTATTTAAAAAAGGCGCGCCAATGGGTAATGTTACCTATCCGCAACATCCCCCCTACTGAACTTCGACATACACACTTTCCGACCTACTGCAATATCGGACTTACTCCAGCAGTTTTTTTTTGTAATATTTGAGGGTCAAGTTAGGTAAAGAGAATTTCTGGGCCGAACGCTGCGGATGGTGCACCGCATGGGGCCGAGCGCCGCGCTAGGACTTTGCTAGGGGGCCGCGGGCGCTGTAGTCACATGTCCATCTAGAAGCTGTTATACCACTTACTAGTAGGTCGGATGTGTAGTATAGCGGATTTGGCGTAGGTCAGGAACATAGTATATCGGATTTGCGTAGGTCGAAAGATACACCATCGCCTTACTGTCTGTGACGTCATGTAACACGTAGCGGTATTGTCGCAACAGCTGATTCTAAACCGTCTGCATAGTACAGTCCTCTCATATCAAAACAAACTCAACTTCAATTATTCTGCAGATTAATTTGAACAGTGAAAAATGTCGATAGGTGTCGATGCGCCGGCCACGATTGTATTCAGTCTCTTCTATTTTATATTTTGTATAGGTATAAACGTTTTGGTAATTTCCTAGTATACGATTTTTGTACAATGTAGGAAGGAGTTTTCTTGAAAACAATACCCCTGTATTTGAATATTTAATGTTTAGGTTTTGTTTACCAGAGTAAAGAGTTTGTAGGGTTGGGTCTGAGCCCGGAGAATATCCTGAGTATAAAGGATTGGGTTGGAAGCGAAGAGATGGATTTTGTAAACTTTCAAATCAGGAAATTAGATGCATCAACTTTAATTTAAAATTTTTAAAAGGATTTATTATGTTTAATCTTTCTTCTCTATGAAAAAGTCGGATTTGCCTGGTTATAAACAGGGTTACCCACAAGGAGGAGATTTTATTCACGTCCTTAAACTCGTGAAACGACTGGAAAAAAATTATTTAAATTCCGTACTTGCAGTCTTCTCCTAGGTCTCATCTTTTCAGGGTTACCCTGTATGTTCATAGCAGTTTATGTTTATGACTTATATTCCTTTTCAAATGTCTATTTCTTTTATTTATCAAAGTATAGGTACTAAAAAAGTTTGATATAATGTCACAAACAATAAGATATAAATGTTTAACTTCAAACACAAATTACATTCAAGAAAAATACGTTAGTTTTCATTCATGATTGTTTACATCCTAGCCTGTAATAATTGCCATATCTACAAGCCTAAAATATTGGCTGCCATTTTTTAGTATTCTAGAAATTTATTTTTCAACATTCTATCGTCTCTTTTTTTTGGCGATTAACCAAATATATACATATATATATTTATTAAACAAAGATATATATATATATATATTTGCTCAGTTTGGGAACCGAAGTTGATGTATTTTTCTTTAGAAGAAGCTGCGGTACTTTCATACTGCACTCTTTACTCCCATTCGGTAACTATCAGAGTTGTTAGTTTTTGGTCTAGAATTCATCAGAATTCAAAATTAATCTTTACAATTTTAAGAGTTAACTGGCGTTTTTAGTAACCTTGATTATTGGTTATGAAGATTAGAAAGAGTAAGAGGAGAAAAAAGTTCCTATAAGTTTGTAAGCCCGTCAAAAAAGACCATGAATTGGTTGATTTGGTTAAAAACCGTATTTTATGCTAACTTTTCAATATTTCTACCAGAGATAAGAGAGTTACAGAGATCGATTATCAGCTAAAATGTGCGATATTTTTCACAGCATGTTNATCTGTATTCAGGGATATTTAGGATCCTTTGGATACAAAACACAAAATCTTCAAAAAAAAGATTGAATTCATGAATGTTATGTTTCATGTTTAAAATTTGATTATTTCTTTGAAAGTTGTAAATCTTAACCCCTGAATGGGTATTATATTCAACAAACGGCCCCGAGATGGCGCTCTAAAAACCAATCGTAAAAACGTAGCATGTTGTGCCGGGTCAACTTGCCTACGTAGCCCACCCTGTGAAAGGAGATAAGTAGTCTGTGTAGTCTGTGATTTCTAACTATTGATATTAAATCAGTTTAAAAACACAACAGTATTATTAAAATATATCTATCTTTTAAATATAGCTCTTACTCATTTATTTTTCACCAGAGCCGGATAAACGACTGGACCAAAATGGCTGAATTTTATCGAAGGAACCAATGTGTGCCCCGGGGGTGACTTATGCTAATTGTCTGGGCAACGCTGGAAATTTGAAAAAAGTAAAATGTGGGGTTATACAAAAATTTTATTTGGATGTACATTGTACATTGTACATTGTACAATAAATAAATACTTAACAGCAAAAGTCTATTTTTTCTTTCAATCTTTTTTGCAATTAAATATTTAAATTGAAGTGTATTGATAAAGGAGTGTAGAAAAATGTCTATAAAAAACATTCATTTACAACTAGCTTGGACACGCAGCTTTGCGTAGAAACTGAACCTTCGCTATTTGAAGCCAACCCACTCAACCAATTTTTTTCCACCAAGCTAAGAACATTCCTATAGTTCTAAACCTCCCTATTTACAGGGAGGATAATTACTTATCCTCCCTCTTTACAGGGAGGATAAGTAATTATCCTCCCTGTGATCCATACAGATTTATCAAATTAAAGTGTATTGATAAAGGAGTGTAGAAAAATGTCTATAAAAAACATTCATTTACAACTAGCTTGGACACCCAGCTTTGCGTAGAAACTAAACCTTCGCTATTGAAGCCAACCCACTCAACTAATTTTTTTCCACCAAGCTAAGAACATTCCTATAGTTCTAACAAATTCCCCAATCAAAATTTGGGGCCAATCGGGTTCCTGAGTTGTGACATACAAACAAATTAACCAAGAAACAGAGATCACAACTTTATATATATATGTAGATTCTATGCAGGAATCTTTTTCATCTTGTAATACTAGGAAAATGACATAGCTAGCTTTATCCTTAATTAAATAAATAACGGCGTGAGACCATCGAGCCTGAAGGNAGCACGAGAAAGAGCAATATTACACTTGATTCAATTATACAACACAAAGCTTAATGTTTTCAGTAATTTTTTTTAAAAATCTATAATGATTGGTTAAACATAGAAATTAGATTTAGGTAACAATCTTAAAGAAAACATAAAATAGTTTTTTTAGAATCAAATATTAATAAGAAATGCATAAAACAAATATTTAAAATAGATAATATTCGATGGTTTTTTTGCCTTTTCAATCAATCATTTACCTTTCAAGCCCCCCCCCCCTCTCTTCAGGAGCATATACTGAAATTTGATAGACATTCACAAATTTTTCCTTATCTATTTTTCTATATTTACTCTGAACACAGTTATAAAACTGTTTAAAACTAAATTCGTTCTAAATATATTTTTTCGTTTGAAATAAATGTATAAAATATCCACATCATTACTTGACTTTATTTCTGTATTAAAACTAAATAAAAACTAAATTTTAAGTGATACAGTCAGCCACGAATATTTCTTTTTTTAGCTATCAATAGTTTTCTTTCCAAGAACCAATTAGTTAATTAATTATTACTTAAGACAATCCAATTGAGTGCTCTTCTTGACTTCCAGGGATTTATATTTACATATATAAATAAAGGGTTGAGTCAAAAAAAAGTGTGATTAGTGGCGCCCAATCCAAAATTGTACCTTTTTTGTGCAACTCTCCTGTATGGTGTTTTTTCAATATTTTTTGGATATCTTTAATTTTTTTGCTACTCCTATGGCCAAGAAACAAATCCGTGAACCTTTTTTCTCTCAAAGTCAAAAGTTCAGAAAAGCAAAATTGTGCATATATATTATTACTATCAAATTCTAAAAAAATTTTAAAGATTGAATTACAGAATCACAGAAAATTTTCAAAATTGTGATATTAAAATTGGCAATTTTCAGTTCTGATCTAATTTTTAAGGAAAAGTTCCTTAAATCCTCTAGTTTCTTTCTTTTAATATATTCTGAAGCTATTCGTGTTCAGTTGAAACCTGAGGAGCCACTGAAAAACAACTTTTCCTAAAAAATAAGACCAGAACTGAAAATTGTAAATTTTCTTATTACAAGTTTGCAAATTTTCTGTGATTCTCTGATTCAATCTTTATAAAATTTTAGAATTTGATAGAAATAATATATATACACATTTTTGGTGTTCTAAAAGGGAAGCTTCGCGCGCTAATACGGAGCGCTGGTGAACTGTGCCCATTCTCATTCGTTTAGCTCTGCAATTATTCACAATTTGAGCAATGTTTCTTACAATCTCTTATGCTGCAGATATCAGACGGTGGAAACTGAAATAAAGAAAAAAAAAATAATTAATTTACCAAACTCGTACAACATATTTACATTTATAAAACCTGTGCCACCCTTTACACTTTGAATTTGCTCGTCAAAAACACCCTGTATAATATTGTTCAGTATATATATGGATAAATAATAAATTAGCGATTTTATGAAAACTTTATAATCTAACAGTGAATAACAAATTATATTTTTTAAAAAATTTTGTTTTCGAAATTTAAAAGATTTTAGTTCAGATATTTAACATTTAAAAACTTGTTTTAGGATACTTGATTGGCTACAGTTATGTAACAACACAGCTAGATGGTAACTATTCAAGGTAAGGCTCCCCCCCCCTTCAGATTTCATCCTTTTGGGGAATTAGACCAATTTCATTAATTCCGGAATTATTGATAAATTGATCAGTTTTGTGGCTAAAAAAAGCAGTTAACTAAATTGTAAAAAGAATAAGTTTTCTTCAGAAAAAAAATAACAAATTTAAGAATGGAAGGTATGATATTTTTCAATTTTCAGAATTAATATTTGTAAGTGTTAAAAATTAATTGTTTATTTTGTTCTTCGGAAAAAAAATATTTATCATCAGAGGAATTCTGAAACTTCAAACTTGAATATATTTTACGAGAAAGATTGAAGGCTCTTGTTTACATATAATTTAATGAGACGATGTGTAACAAGAACTATGACAGGGTGTGTGCAGACGTGTAAGCACCTTGTTTAATTGAATCGACAATCATATATTTTATTTTATACAAATTGTTAAAAAATAATTCAATCAGAAATTTTTAGCAGATATCAAAAATTTCTAAAATCGGTAATATTGGTCCAAAATTAAGATTGCTATCGCCACAATTTTTGGTGACACTCTGTATTCTAGTTTAAACTATATGACTGTACAGTGTACATATGTAAACTCAAGATATGAAAAAGAACTTGCAAAATTATACCTAAAGTCCCTTTCATCTTCAAACTCAATTCTCTCTTCCCATGATAAGTTTCCTTCGATAAGGAAATTAAATTCAGAGATTACATCTGTTGTCAGATTATTTTTAATAACCTCATTTAGTAATATTAAAAATTTGATATTTATTCAAGAATTATCTAGATACCTGAGATACTTGAGTATATATTCTAGAACTACCTGAGATACTGAGAATATATTCTAGAACTACCTGAGATACTTGGGTATATATTCTAGAACTACCTTAGATACTTGGGTATATATTCTAGAACTACCTGAGATACTTGGGTATATATTCTAGAACTACTTGAGATACAGAGTATATATTCTAGAACTATCTGAGATATTGAGTATATTTTCTAGAACTACCTGAGATACTGAGTATATATTCTAGAACTACCTGAGATACTGAGTATATATTCTAGAACTACCTGAGATACTGAGTATATATGAGATACTTGAAAATATAGATGTTTTTTTAGAAACGTTTCCATCTCTGTTTTTCCTCCCTTGAAGATTACACCACATTATTAAGAGGATTATCTGATGAGTCCACTTCAGAAAATTACATAATAGTTTATTAACACTTGTAATGAGAAGTGTGTAAGTGATCGAATAGTTTACATAGTTAAAAAAGTATCAATATTTTTTCAAAAAAGGGGTTTTAAGGGGGGCGGGGCACAACGAACATTTTTTGTACGCTGTCACGCGGAAACAGTCACCCCCTAAATAAATGCTCTCGCACGCACCTGGTTACTATAGTGACTCTCTCATTGAAAAATGATTTTGTTTGTGGTTTCTCCATTAAAGTTAAAATGGAGGAAATTTATTCAAGCTAGAAAAACCACGATATCTTCCAGATAATTGATCAGATAAAGATTTAAGGGTACAACTGTGAATTGAGCATGCCTAGGGTTTCCAGCGCAAGTGGATTTGCGCGCAATTCCGTAATAATTCCGTCCAACTTTCTTGCGTTTGTGTTTCAATTTATTGATAGAATTCAATTCAAACCATGGCATGCAATAAATGCAATTAATTGTTGCTCAATTCCTTTTAACAGCAAAAAATTCAATTTAAACGTTAGTGGCATAAAATAAACGGAACTTCACTAACATTTCAGTCTCAAATGCTAAGAAAATTGAATTTAAACTTAATCTTTTGTTTTATAATATTCATTTGCAGCATGATAACCAGAAAACTCTGGCATAGGAAGACAACAGTTTAGACTTAAGCAGACCCATGGAACCTGATAAGTGATTTAATAAGTTACTAATTAATTTTGCTGGACTTGTAACTATATTAAATACACTGTGATGTTGTCTTTTTGTACCATAGTTTTCTGGTTCTCACTGTAGCAAAATACCTTACAATTTCAACCAAAATAAAGTTGATGTTTATCCAATGTTAAGAAATGAACAGTGTATTATATTAAATTGTTAATTAGTAACTTAACCAAAAGAAATTTTATAATTTGAAAACTGTTTAAACTAGTGACACTAGGGCCTTGATTATTTTAATATCAACAGAGATCCCGCAATTCCACGCAATTCCGTGAATATTCAATTTCTTAATTTTTCGCAATTATAGCGCAATTGCGCGCAACGAAATAGCGCAAGCGGAAAGAACCATTCCGTGCAAAGTAATTCCGATTGGAAACTTTAAGCATTCCCCTTATTAAATGATGGGTCACTTACATATTTAGCAACAGTCTACTTAATTGAAAATTTTATCAAGACTTTTGTTAAATGCTTTTCCAGTTTATTTTGGAGGACAGTAGACCCAATTTTTTTTATAAATCTCTTAATTTTTGTACAACTGTTGTTTGCCTACGTTTCTCATTCTAACTGAATAGAATTAAGTTTGCAGAACAGATATTTGAAGGTCTTTGATTTTGTGTTTCGAATTTACCATTTTCTTTTATATTTCTATGTTAGTGTTCTAAATCTTACAAAGTTTATTACTATATTATCTTTGAAAAAATATAATTTTTTTAAATATGAATAATTGCTTTTATTTAGTATGACTCTATTTTGGAGAGCCTGGCCCCAGATGCTAAACGGTTTGGTTGTTTCTGTTCTTATTCCAGCTGCTCTACTTTCTCTTGTTTGGTAGGCATTATTATATTTAACAAAATATGCGTTATTTGATAATGATTTTCGACGTTTAACACTATGAAAAAGATAAACTATTCAAGGTTTTTAATTCCAAAACAGGGGCGGGGAATGATTGTTGAAAAAAGGGGGAAAATTGTCCATAAAAAGGCAACCTTTTTCATCCTTTTGATAAGTTTTCCTCAAAATTTCATTTAATTCCCTTAAAAATTATTTATTTTCTTCAATCATTGAATAAAACCCTTAAAAAAACTTCGGGGGGGTGGGGGGGAATGATTATTTAAAGGGAGAGGGGGGAGGCAATTATAGTACCAATAAAAATCCCATTAACAATGCCATTAACGAATGGTGTTTTGTTATTATGATATACCTCAGCGTTTCAACGATTCTAGTAAATGTTGTCATTCTAATATTTCACGAGTTATGTAACGATTTAGGTTTTATTCTATTTAATTAAGCTCTTCGCTCAAATATTTTAAATGTTAGCAATAGCTGGCCAAACGGCTCGACACAAATTGGCTGCATTTTTTTTAGGAAAACCACTGCTACCCAAGGGGTGGCTTTAGGTTAAAAAAATGTTTTCCCAAAATTCAATTTTTTAATTTTAATTTTTAAATTAATAATTGTTTTTTAGTAATTTTAAAAATCCACGGAAAGTTAATAACAGATAAATCTAGTATTTTCATGGAGTACTAATTTCCTCAAATTCAGTTCTAGAATGGAGAATTTTACGACATATCAGACTTCTTGACATTAGAAATTAGAAAATTTTTGTGAACCTCGTGTTGTCGATTTAGGTTAAGATGAAAGAGGGTGTTACCTTGAATTTTTATGATATTTAAAGTGATCTTCCACTTTAGAGTTCCATGTCTTTAAACCCGTTGTCTAATTTAGTAAGTTTGATAGATTCTTGTTTTTCTTGCTGAAAATTGATTATTTTCAATTTTTTCTGTGAAAGGGACTTGCAGATTAATGCTGTATTGCAGACTTATGCAGGATAGAGGTTTACAGGGCGTCGTTGTGAATAGAATATGCCACTCTGTTCATGGATATGTTCGCTTGCAGATTTCGTGGACAGTCCCTTTACGATAAGATAAGCACTTTACTTAAAGGAACTGTAAGCGTAAAGTGACCCTCCATCCAAATATTTACAACAGTACTCCTGTAACCTTAATCTAATCAATAATGTGGAAGAAATTGATGTTTTTCTGACTCGAAAAGTATTTAATTCTGATAATTTTTCCATGTGTTTCTTAAAAGCAAGAAATGCGCCAGTCACTTTCACAGAGAAACTGCAAATAAAATGAAAAATTTAAAGAAACAAAAGCATGGATATCTAATTCATACTTGAAAAGACAAAGCTTATTTAGCATGAAAGGTCACTTGAAATTACGTTCCTTTAACCTTGAAATTGTACACTAGGTATTGGTATACAACTGGTTGGAAGGATCACCCTCTAGTAAAGAAAATGAGAATATATTCAGAGGACTGGAAATCTTTATCTAAAGATCTTAACACTGAGTTTAGGTATATAGAATCAATTATCATTAAGTGATTATTTAATTTATAAACTAATGACTTATTTAATGAGTCAATTAATTTACCTTGTTTAAGGGTTTCCCTTAGGAGAAACATGTTCATATATAACAAAAAAGCAATTACATAAACCTATTTTTTTTTCTTATATACTGTCATCAAGCAGTTGAAAATGGTTTTGAATATATATTGCTTGGAGACCCGACTGAAAAGCTAAAACTTTGATAAAAAGTTTACCCGCACGAAAAGGCGAAAGTTTGTTTTATGAAGAAAAAGGAAATATACAAAGTTAATTAAAGTTGCTAGAAATGATTAAAAACCCATCCTTTCACATAAGAATAAGTAATTTCAGAAGGTGTCTGCTTAACTTCTTAAATTTGTAAAATAGGAATTTTTAACATATTTTTATTCAAAAAAAATTTAATTCGTTTTTTCTTTTTTCTTTCTTTCTCGAATCTCTTTAATTTTGTCTTAGATATTGTTGCCACTGTGCACCCTTCTCTTAAAGGGAGTGTTCGCGATAAATGAAATGGGTATAAGCTTAATGCGATAAAAAGCGCTTTTGATCGATACTAATTTTACTTTTATCTGTTGAGTCAATAAGGAGAAAATTGTTAAAAACGACTAATACCGAAGAACATAGTGTCCATACAAATTCAGAAAGATGCAACGTTCAACTCGGATCGTGAAACAAATCAATTTAATTCCAAACAAATCATTCAGATATTACAAACAGTAGTCATCGATTATTTTTCAACGCATGTGACTTGCGGATTTTTACTTGCTGAAACAATGCAGGAAACTGTCAGTAAGAATGTTAAATCTATAAAAGGGACGATATCTTTCATATTTTGATCAGATAAAGGTTTAAAGGGTGAATCAGTCATCTCCCTCTTTAAGTTAAGGGTTGCTTGAAATTACAAGAACTGTTCCTTTAATAAGTTTTCTGAAAAAGGTTTTGAGATAATATTTTTTATTCTAAAGAAACTGTGTTTATTTTCCTTTACAGGAAGATTACATTTTGCACATCTACCCTTGTGGAAAATTAGGTTCTTTAAAGGGACTGTAAGCGTAATTTCAGCTGACCCTTCATACAAAGATGACAATGTCCGATTTACAACGGTTTCTTTATCCGATCAAAAATGTGAAAGATACTATCGTTTTTCTAACTCAAAAAGTGTTTTTTTTTTCTGTGAGTTAATCTATTGCTTCTTAAAAAGAAGGAATGTGGAAGTCACTATCACAGAGAACCCACAAATGAAAATAAACAGTTTAGAGAAACAAAATCACTGATATCTAATTCATACTTCACCAGAGAAATAGCTTTCAAGGTAACCGTTGTTAAGCGGACATTTCCATCTTTGCTTGTAGGGTCAATTAAAATTATGCTTACAGTCCCTTTAAGAAGAACTTTCACGTGAAAGGATAATACGGATAGAGGATTTGAATTGAGCTACAAAATTAACTTTTTGCACTTTTCAATCTCGATTCCGGGGTTTTCGTGTAATTTACTGAAATTATCCCCCCCTTGCTCGGCACCCATCCCCCCTTATTAATCATTTAGAAAAACTTTTAATTTTTCTTTATACTTATATTTTGTTAAAAAAGCATTCCTCTTCTAAAATCATTTTTTTCTCCAAGTGTGTTGAGTGTTTTTAAACTAAATTCATCAAAATAAGGATTTTCAGGGTATAAAATAAATGGATGAATTTTTGGAAAACAAATTTAAAAAAGTGAAGGAACTTGTCAGTTTCCAATTTTTTATTTTTATCTTCAATTTTCCAAAGATCATTTTACCTTCAACTTCTCCCTGATCGGGGTAGTGGTGGAGGGGTGTTAATTTATTAAAATATATATATACCCATGAGAAGAAGTTGATTAATTTTAAATTTTTAATTTTTTTCCAGACGGATAGATAAGATCTCCCTGTCGTTGAACCCCCTGGAGAGGTTGGTTGTGACGGACAACTGGATTCTTCTCCTTGGGCCCTGGCCCTGGTCCCTTCATATAAGGTTGGTCCCTGGTCCCTTCATATCAGGTTGTTCTCTGGTCCCTTCATATCAGGTTGGTCCCTTGTCCCTTCATATCAGGTTGGTCCCTGGTCCCTTCATATCAGGTTGGTCCCTGGTCCCTTCATATCAGGTTGGTCCCTGGTCCCTGGTCCTTTCATATCAGGTTGGTCCCTGGTCCCTTCATATCAGGTTGGTCTCTGGTCCCTTCAGGTCCCTGGTCCCTTCAGGTTGGTCTCTGGTCTCTTCATATCAGGTTGGTCCCTTGTCCTTTCATATCAGGTTGGTCCCTGGTCCCTTCATATCAGGTTGGTCCCTGGTCCCTTTATATCAGGTTGGTCCCTTGTCCTTTCATACCAAGTAAGTGGGACATTTTAGCATTTTTTTTCCCTTAAAAACATTAGTTATAGATATTTCCAATTTGATTTGACATAAATGATTAACCATGCTATTAAAGATCATTTTAGAAAAACCTAGGACCAGATTTAATGACTTGAGAGACATAGTTGAACCACGTAAACGTAGTTGAACCGCTTTTCTTATGTGCAGGGTCAAAATGATGAGAACGGGTTCAACTATGTCTCGCTATTCATTAACTCTGGTCCCATAAACAATTTAAAAAGACTTATTATAGGTTTTGCAAACCTACAAAAGCGGTTAACCCTATAACGCTGTCTAAACTATATTGACAGTATAATTTTTTCCTGTAAAAAATTATAATTTTTTATATTTTAAATGTGATTTATCCTGAATGAAAATCATACTTTTCAGATTTCAAATTTTTAACTTACTTTATTTTACTTAACTTTTTAAAATTTACTTATTTATAACTTGCATGTATTGCACAGTGCTCGTCGAATGTATTAATACATTGAAGACGACTTCTTTATTTGTACAAGGCGCAGCTTTCAAACAGCATGGTAAAAAAGCAGACAGCTTTAAACAACAGCCTCTCTTTATACAGTGGTTGGCGTTTATATTGATACAATTAGGACAACTTCTTCTATTTTAATTTTGATTTATAAAAAGGTTTTTTCAAAATAATAAGTTTACTGAAAAGAAACGAAAAGCTGTTCATTGAGGGGATGAAGGCCTGCCACAACAAATTCTCGTCCGAGCCACATTCTCCTCATTTTTTCGTCCGAGCCACCTCGGAATCCTCGTCCTTCAATTATTTTGTGTTAATAAGTTTACAATTCTTAAAGATAAAACTATTTTTTAAAAATCTGGCAACGTTAGGGCATAAAATACGGATGGATTAAAGTACTGCAATGATCATATCATGTTGGAATCTTCAAACCCCTGAGAATGATGTCAAACTTTATTTAGGTAAAACTTAAATCTCATCTGCCTCCGTTATGACTAACCTTCGTGATATTAAATAAAAAGCAAAATATTCGGCATACCTTTGCCTATAATTTTATATATATTATTATATAAAAATTCTAGGCTTTTCACTATAATTAAGAAAAAATATTGAAGTTCCTTAAACTTGGAATTATTTGCGGCATTCTACACCAGAATATCTGAAAATGCGAGTAAAAAAAGTAAATATTTTTAAAGACATTAAACTTGAAATCTTTAATTCAATTAAAACTTTTTTCGATTTACAAAATTTGATATTTCATTTATGCCCTAACGTGGCTTGATTCTTAAAAAATGTTTTGATCTGGAAGGATTAGACACTTAAAAAAAATATTGAAAGGACAAGGATTTCGAGGTGGCTCGGACGAGAAAATGAGGAGAATGTGGCTCGGACGAAAAATTATTGTGGTTGACCTTCCTCCCCTCGTTGATTGAATATGTTGTCATTTTTTTATCCATGCTATTTGATATCTTGGTAGAAATAAAAATTCATTTTCATTGTATTAATATATACAACCAGTGGCCAAATTTAAAGAATTTGAGTTGCGGTTTTAAGCCGCGGTTTAAGTATGGTTGGTTCCACTTAAAATTGTATCAAATGTTACAAGATTTAAGCCGGTGCTTAATTTAAACCGAGTTTTGGCGGATTTAAACCGCGGCTCAAATTCTTTAAATTCCATCTGAGGACTTTACAATACATGCAATAAATTAAGTAAATGCTTTCATTATATTGATTATCCTCCTGCATTGTTCTTATATAGTATATTCTAGATATATTGTATAATATTGGTATAATTGATATTCTATATAGGTGTTACATATAGTGTTTTTAATAATGTGATATAGAGACCAATTATCTTTATAAAAATATTAATTGTTCAATATTTTTCTACAGTTGTCGTATATATATATATATATATATATATTCGACTTTTTACCAATCTTGTAAACATCATAGATACAAACAAGTAAACAATTAACAGCTTCTCTTTGTTTACTTGTAAAAATTTATAAAAAGCCGCCATCATTGTATTGATAAAATCGCCGATCAATGTTTTGTATAATAAAGTTGAAGCTGAAAACATGTTTTTGGAGGTTTATGAATGGATCTAGTTTAGATATCAAAGATCCATAGAATTCCTTTATTTGTGATCATTTCTTTCTGCAAGAATAATTGGACCATTAAATTTGTTTTCGATTGAGTCTTATTGAACAACCTTTTCACTTTGGAAAATAAACTAGAAAATTCAAAATGATCTGAACATTATTGTCAAAAATGCGCTAAATTTGGTTCCACCCTTAATTTTTGATGACCCTTTATTTAAGGATGGGCATGTCTGATTCAAAACGGTACCATAATCTTATTATCTAATAAGTATTCTGAGCCCGCGATTTAAAAATTTCGGCTCGAGCCGTAATTCCTTAAACCCGGCTTTAAGACCCGATCTTCGACCCAACTCTGACGACAGCTAGTGTCACGTTGTTGACAGCTGCAAGATCTTCGGCTCGACTTAAGGAGTTAGGCCCATTGAAAATAAAACCGACCTTGGTTGGTTTTAGTGGAGAATAAGGCTTAATGTTGAATCTTATTCTCATAAAACCTGGAATGACTATCAAAATCTGCCAAATAGAAAATTAAACCGGCTTTTTAAACTCAACTCTGTGGAAAATAAGATGCAGCTTGAATCCGAAAGCTCAAGCCGTAAATAAGGCCCAACGACAGCTTAGACCCGAGCCGTATTTTCCCGAATTTTTTAAATCGCGGGCTCTGGAATATTTAGTTTAATTCTGACAATTTCATTAGTCACTAGAAACGCCACAAATAATAGTTAAACATTTTAAAATGAATAAATATGTTTATGTCTTAAGTTTAAAGAAATCTTGCCAGGGTACAGTTGTGTGTCACGCCATGAATGAATGATCACATGAAATGATATTTGCAAAGTATATAAATATAAAAGGAGATGCAATTGTTGTTTTCATTTCTATTTTGTTTAGCCATCAGTCGGATTCTAGTTTAAAGCTTCTTAACTACGACAACCACAACATATCTACTGAGGGAGAACTAGGGGGGACTCAGTTCTTACATATTGAGGTAAATAGGTTGGTTGGTTGGTTGGTTGATTGGTTGAATTCTAAATTCTGTCAATATAGGATAAAATTTTTTTGATTTTGTAGACGAAACGATCGTTTTTCAAAAAAGTGAAAACGATCCATCCCTAGGGTGGGGTGGGCTTGGTTGCAGAATACTGGCAGATCTAACACACTTTTTCAAAGAGTTCAATCTAATACATTCAAATCCTTAGAAGCCTGAAGTAAAATAAAGTGTCCCAATTCAACTTTATTTTAAGATTTTTATTTTTCATATTTGTTTATCTTTGCAAACAAGAGGGGAAGCAACTTTAAAAGTTTTGCAAGAGTTAATTTTTAATTTATTTATATATACATATATATATATATATTTAAAGAATCATCACCCCCCCCCCTGGGGTTCCTCCCTTCTTTCTGAAAATCTTTTATTTTCTCCAGATGTTCGGATAGTTTATTTTGGATTTGATTCACTGAATTTGAGGGAAAAAATGAATTTTTGGGTAAAAAGAATCAATCAAGATAACATTTTGGAAATGCCATGAATATTGAAAATTGTGTGTTGGTAATGGATCTATCCTTATGAGTTAATAGTGTAGATGTTAGTTTCATATTTGATTGAAAATATATTTCGCTCTGGGTGAACCCTCTTCAGTTCTTGTCCTATGACAATTGTTTTTATAATCACACAAGATGTAAATTAATTGTTATTAAAGATTTAAGATTCTTAATTATCTTAAGGGAACAATTTTCCTTGAAAAATACCAATAACAATTCACGACAGTACAATCAAAATTATAAAATTATGAATTTAGGAAAGTTTTTGCTCCACTTTCCAGAGCTGGAATTTTTGTTTTCAATACTCATAATTCTGATCTCTTGATCTCGATATCAAATGTGGGCACTTTTAATTTGAGCATTAATCTTTTAATCTCTCAATTTCATTAATTTCTCCTCTGATCAAAGCTCCCTTAAAACCCTGATCAAAGCTCCCTTAAAACCCTGATCAAAGCTTACTTAAAACCCTGATCCGACTGGGTAAGATTACTATGCGGGTTATAAAATAAAGATTAAATTAATCTGCAGATTAACAAAAAATGATGGTCAAGCATTGATCTCGATCTACACAATATAATCGTTCAACTAACATTTGAATTTCTACTTCAAAAATTATTTTTTCTTTGTTTATTTTACGGATCTGGATCCAGGAAGGTAACATTTCTTGAATTAAAAGCACTGCATCTTCTTATTAAAAATGCATATTGTACAATTTTAGGTTCAAAGCCGGAAGCCCGGAATTTCTAGTTTTCGGTTCCGGTTGAATTCCCTGGAATATCAAAATCTTCAAGACAAACTTACAGGAATATATCAAAATTAAGTTTTTATAAATATAAGTTTAAATGATATAAACGTATTACTTTGTTTCACTTGTCTGCATTAGGTGTTTTACTAAAATAACATAACATTACTTGAGTTCGTCATGGTCCAAATCAGGTCCATATTTTTCTGTTTCTTTTGGTACACCCACGAGTACATCACAAACTGCATACTGTCTGTTGCATTTCAAATTTTGCTTAATGTGTACATTCAAGGGCGCACACGGGGGGGGGGGGGCAAGGGGTAGTGTCTCCCTAGTCCTGTAAACCCCCTTAAACTCAGAGCTTTAATACTTTTCAAATCTGAAACTGAAGAAATTAGTTTGCTGTTTTTTTCTGCTAGTTTTATTTGAAGGAAAGATTAAGTATAGTACTTGCAAGGCAAATGGCGTTAAAGTATCCAAGAAGCCAATGTTTTGAATTTACAGTTAAAATTCCCCCCCCCCCCAGATTTATTTCTTTGTACGCCCTTGTGTACCTTTAGTAAAGTTCATGGTTTGTTTCTGTTTGGATAACAAAAAGACGGAACAAAATGCATTCTTAACGAAACTTATATTTTGATTATTTTAGAATCAATTCAGGAAGAAAAAAAATTATTTTAAAAAAATTAATGCTCTTTTTCTTCAACCGAAATTGAAATTTGAATTTTAAGTTTTCGAAATATATTTTTTATTAATTTTTTTCGACCTCCAGAATATCAAAAGTATCACAATTTACAAAACAGTTAGTGAACGATTTTTAGATGTTTTCAAGGAACAAGTAGCCCAGGTGATTATGGAAAGACGACATTAAAACTAATTTTGTATCTAATGGCTGAAGGAAGACTTAATAATTAATGACATTATTATTAGGGAGGACTGTGTGTAGAAATACGATATTAAAAAAAGATTCTTGAGAAGATAAATGATACGTAAAACAATATTCAATATATTTTTTCTTCAAATTAGTGAGAATAGTTTTTTTCATTTGTTGACAAAATGCAGAATCTATTTATATTGTGCAGGCTTAATCAAGCAAAAGTTTTTTTTTGGCAAAAATGGTTTTCTTGGAATTTAAAATTCAAAGCTTATATATTTGTTTTTATATTGTCAGACAATTCACGAAAATTTCAAATTTTTTGTTATATTTTCAACCGTAAAAGCGTTTTATTTTTAAACAAATATTGGTTTAATATCTAGATATTAAAATTAATTCTGTATTAGTTTTATCCATATTTTACTGTCCTTTAAATTTTTAGATTTTAGATTTGGTTGATATATCATTAACTTTATATTTTATAGATTAATAAACAAGAACAGATTGAACACTTCATGTCGTCTTTTCAAGATTTTTCGTTCATAATAAGCCTAAGGCAGATTACCTTAGGGTTACGCCAGGGTTCCTCCCAGGTTTTTTGTGGCAGGTCAGGATAAAAGCAAAAGTGGTAGATTTTTTAAAAAGTGGCAGAATTTACACACAGCAAAGAAATTTTTGTGATTTTGTTAGCAGAACAGAGCGTTTTGGTGTTGTAAAAAGGTCAATAACCAGGTCCCTAATATAAGATATTCATTACTATTTTTCATGAAACTTTGGGTTTTTTATATTTTATTGTTTAAGATTTCTTTTTGAAGTCATGTATGTGCACAGATTAGCTTTTGAAAAGCGGGAATACATGTGTGACGCTTAATTTAACCAAGCGACAGAATTTACACACATCCCGCGAAAACTTTAACCAATAACAGAAAAGGCCTCAGATTTACACTTTTTGTGCGTTCACCCTTAGCAGAACTGATGGCGTATGATATACTCAACTTCTTTTTAACTTTAATAATTTATTTTCAATTAAATTTTACAATAGCTATACTCAACTTCTGATTTACGTCAAATCCGCTAAACTACACATCCGACCTACAAGCAACTGGTTTTACAGCTGCATGATGGTGGGGAGGGAATCATTAGATAATCCACCGCCCCCACTCCCCACCCAAATATTTAAAGGGAATGTTCGCGAAAAATGAAAGGTGGCATAAGTGCTAAGCTTTGATTGCATGTGTCAGCTGGTATAGCAATTGTGGCATTTTTTTGTGCTAAAACAATTTTGTGGCCGATTTTAAGCTTGTTAATAAATTTTTGTGGCAGATTATATGCATTTAGGATTTAAGTTTCTAAGCTTCAATTGCATGTGTGGCAATTTTTTTTGGTTTAGATAGAGGTGTGTCAGGGTATAACTTTCTAAATAATTTCTTATGTGTTAACATTTTTTTTGGCAGATTTTACGCTTATTGATGATTTTTTGTGGCAGATTTCATGTATCTGAATACTTTCAGTGAAAACTAGGGGCATAGGTTATGTGTTAACATTATTTTGTGCCATTTTTTTAGCTCATTCATTATTTTTGTGGCAGATTTCATGCTTTAAGTTTATGTTTGTGGCAGATTTAAAGCTCATTCATTATTTTTGTGGCTGATTTTATGAATTTAGATTATGTTTGTGGCAGATTTAAAGCTTGTTAATAATTTTTGTGGCAGATTTCATGCATAGCGATGATGTTTGTGGCCGATTTAAAGCTCATTCATAATTTGTGTGGCAGATTTCATGCATTAAGGTTATGTTTGTGGCAGATTAAAGATCATTCATAATTTTTGTGGCAGATTTTACGCATTAAGATTATGTTTGTGGCAGATTTTAAGTTTATTCATAATTTTTGCGGCAGATTTCATGCATTATGATTATGTTTGTGGCAGATTTAAAGCTCATTCATAATTTTTATGGCAGATTTCATGAATTAAGGTTATGTTTGTGGCAGATTAAAGATCATTCATAATTTTTGTGGCAGATTTTACGCATTAAGATTATGTTTGTGGTAGATTTAAAGCTCATTCATAATTTTTGCGGCAGATTTCATGCATTATGATTATGTTTGTGGCAGATTTAAAGCTCATTCATCATTTTTATGGCAGATTTTTTGCATTACGATTATGTTTGTGGCAGATTTAAAGCTCATTCATAATTTTTGTGGCAGATTTTTTGCATTACGATTATGTTTGTGGCAGATTTAAAGCTCATTCATAACTTTTGTGGCAAATTTTATGCATTAAGTTTATGTTTGTGGCATATTTTATGCGTTAATTAGTAGCTTTTCCCCAAAATTGGCAGATTAGTTATCTAAATTGGCTTTTTTCCTAAATTGGCAGATTTTTGCCCAAAAATTTCGATTGGCAGGTCAGTTGGGTCAGGTAAACTGACTGAAATTTGCTGTGGGAGGAACCCTGGGTTACGCGCATGCGGCGTAGAACAAACAGGCTCTCTCTCTGTCTTCTAATTCTACGAAACGTGCGCGTAACTTCTTTGGGCGTCTACCTCAGGGTCATTGTGAACGGAAAACTCCCTAAATCTTGAAAAGACGACATCTAGTGTTCTATCTGTTATAATCTATGATATTATGTAACCTATGATTGAAGTAAATATTTTGATTTAGATTATTCTTTTTATTATAGAATGATAAGGTATCAGTTGCAGATGAATTAGAATCATGTATAGGTAATAAGGGAAATATCACTAAAGAAATAAATTGTTAAAGTGACTGTAGACAAAATTTTAAGTTTCCCTCCATTTGTAGCATGTCCAATTCACATCGGCACCCTATATTTTAAATGTACATTCGAGTTTCTCGCCACTCAATTTGATAGCTAAAATAATAGGGATATCTCTGTCAGATGATCGATGATCGATGATCGATGATCGATGATCGATGATCAGAAAAGGTACCTTATGTATGAATCGGGCATGCCACTCTGTAAATGGAGGGACACTTAAAATTCCACGTGCAGTCCCCTTAAGGAAGAGCATTTTCAATAAGGATAATAACCTTATTTTACATTGGACGCCCTTAACTGTACAGTGCTCTACCCTTTAAACTAGTTTTAACCAGAGATCATAGATAGTACATATTCTATACCCTTAAGGAAGAGCATTTTCAATTAGAATAATAACCTTTTTTTACTTTGGTAACTGTACACTGTCCATTGTACATTGGACGCCCTTAACAGTACAGTGCTGTACCCTGTAAACTAGTTTTAACCAGAGATCATAGATAGTACATATTCTGTATCCATAAACTGTAAAGTGTCTAGTGTAAACAAGAACCCTTAGATCTGTATAATAGTGAATATGTACCCTGTACACAGTACACTAGAAACCCAAACCATTTACAGTAAAGTATAAGCTGTAACCAGTATATTGTAAATTAGAAATGCAGTACAACAGTGTTGTTCCCTGTAAACTGTAAAACATAATAATCACAGACGATCGCTTGTTCGATGAACTCCTAGGGTACAAGAGAAACTCGTAGTTGCAAAAAAGATGAATATATTTCAAACCTACAAAACTATAGAGTTAGTAATGAAAAAAAAATATGGAGTACACTTTGATTTATACCTGACCTAATACAAAAATGAAGGATTGGAAGACGACATTACGCTCGGGTGCAGTAAGATACGGGTTTATGTTCAACAAACGTACACTGCTGCACCCGTAAACTGTACTCTAGAAATCAAATAAAGTACAGTGAATGGTGTATTCTGTAAATTGTACTCCAGAAATCAAATTGTACAGGGTATGGTGCATTTTGTAAATTGTACTCTAGAAATCAAATTGTACATGGTATGGTGCATTTTGTAAATTGTACTCTAGAAATCAAATTGTACAGGGTATGGTGTATTTTTTAAATTGTACTCTAGAAACTAAATTAAGTACAGTGTTAGTTGTGCCCTGTACACTGTATTTTAGAAATTTAATTAAGTACAAATACAGTTTAAACTTTACCCTGTAAACTACTCTAGAAATCAAATTAAATACTGTGTATGCTGTACCTTATAAACTGTACTCTAGAAATCAAATTAAGTACAGTGTATGCTGTACCCTGTACAGTGTACACTGTACACTTTACACTGTACAATGTACAGTGTACCCTGTATACTCTACACTGTATCCTGTAAACTGTACACTGTATCCTGTAAACTGTACACTGTACAGGTTGTATGGTGGAGACTGCTAATGTAAAGCTCAACAGGATCTGTGAAAGCAGGTATAGAAGAATTGTCACCCTTCTATCCGTATAAACGTTTATGCGAATTTCAATTGAATAGATGCTAGTCCCGAGTTGCAACGGTATCCTTTAAACCTTTATTTGATCACTAATCCGTAAGATATCCTAATTATTATAGTTTGTAAAATGGTTAATTAATTACGTCCTTTCACATGACAATTTTAAAACGATCAGTTATGCTTTTGTTTATTAATTACTAAAAAAAATAATTGAACAGAGCAACGGCATGACGACCGTTAAAATTCTGTCTAAAATGTTGTAAAACATATTTATATATTGCAGTAGTGCTGGAGAGGGGGTAGAGGATAGATGTGTTAACTGTTACTGTAGACCTATGTGGTGTATTGACTGTCTCGGCAAATGGTGAGCTTTATTTTTTATACTTTTAACATTTTATGTGTGTATGTAGAGTCTTCGTCGAATATATCAATATAATGAAGACGACTTTAGATTTAAATTTTTATTTATTTCAAGCTTTCGAACAGAATGGATACCCATAAATACGGACACAGAGAGAAGCTGTTATTTAACAGCTTCTCTTTGTTAACTTGTAAAATTGTAATTTATAAAAGCTTGTTATAAATCAAAAATTAAATAAAAAGTCGTCTTCATTGTATTGATATAAACGCCCACCACTGTATGTTCCGGGCCTTTTCCCTAAGATTGACCGTTTCGGCACAGGAGGTCTTTTTCTGCTGTATTTTTGAGGATTTTGAAGTTTCACACAGGCAACGCCAGATCGCATATTTTATTTAAAAACGTGATCTATTTTTTTCTTGAAATTTGTTTATAAGAAATCTTCAAAGTTTGAATTTTTTTCCCTCAAATGTAGGTAAGGCCTGCTTGTACTTTTAATATTCTTCTTTCGAGATCCAGAAAAGACTGGCTACTGGCTATACATTTTAACATCTGTTGTAAATTAGTAAAAGCGTTTTTTTAAAAATAATTTATATATGATATAAAAAACAATTCTCCCCCAAATTTGAGCCCTTAGTTTTGGCATCTTTTTATACTAAACAGTTTATATGAATACTTTATATCTCATTGTTTAAATAATAATAATAAATATTTAGGTGGGCGTCCAGACAGGATCAGAGTAAACCAGAAACATGGCTGGGGGCTAGGTGTCCCTGCCCCACCTGCAGGTTAGTTAGATATAGATTAATATTATTGTTATTGTTATTATTATTGTTATTGTTATCGGTATTGTTATGTCTTATGGTGATGGTTATGGTTATGGTTATTGTTATTTTTTTGTTTTATTTTTTTTTTTTGTGTTTGTTTTTGTGTTTGTGTGTTGTTTGTTTTGTTTGTTGTTTTTTGTTATTAATGTTATAATTATTATTATATTTGATAGTTTATAAATAGCAAACTTTTAATTTTTAAAATTGATAAAAAATCTCGATCCTTTTAAATTTCTCATATGATTTAAATACTGTTCAATAAGGCTCAGTGCTTAACGCTAGTAAAATTTTATGGCTATGTTAAGTTCCTCATAATCAAGAAGTTTGAGTTATACGGGTTTTATCGAGTTTAAATCTCAAACTCTGTTAGCTTGTAGAAACCTGTGTCAGACACAAAGAGGACTCACTTTGCGAATCCATCTCGCGAAAATTAAAGATTTTTTTCTCTGTCTTTCTCTTACCCAGCATTTATACAACATCTAAAAGGACTGTAAGCATATTTTCAAATAACCCTCCATGCAAAGATGCCCAATTAAAAACGGTAACCTTAAAACCTTAATGTGGAAGGTTACACCATTGAAATTACGTTAATTTGTTTGTTTCAGGAGTATGTTTTGTATGTTAGATGTGAGCCTAATAACTCCAGGATAATCAGAAATTGTCCCTTTACAGAGGTTAAGTGGGCTTATATGGGAGGATAAGCTTGTAAAGGGATTCATGTCTTATTCACAAATGTACCCAGTTAAACCATTGTTGAATTTTAAATATGGAATATATGTCGTTTTTCACTTTTAAAAAGATACAAATTCTGAACACTTACCAATTTTCGTATATATCTGAACAAAAAATACCAAGAGCTGAAATCTTTAGATTGGTGGATATCGAAATCAATACTTGATCTCCTCTATTTCTTAATCTTCAGAGCTGAAAACTTTAGAATGGTGGATATTGAGATTAATCAAATCAAATCAAATCAAATCAAATTATATATTTAGCCACAAACTATACATGTAAAAATGGATATTTATAATTAACATTAATTGAAATTACAGTTTATGGCAGCGAGACGGAACTAGCCGAAACTGTTGATTAATGCTTAATCCTCTCTTTTTCTTAATATCGAGACTAACCTAATCTTATACTTGTATCCTGAAAAGTGTATAAAATTCAACCAATCAGAGTTGCATATATGAAGCCGATAAATTTGAAATTTTGCACGCCATTTAAGATTATATACAGAAATGGGGGAAACTCTCTAATTTAGAAAAACCGGTTTTTGATTTTTCTCTACTATATCCAAGAAAGAACGGTTTAAGAAGAAAATAAAAAGTGTGTCAATTGGATACTCAGGTTAAGTAACTGGGATTAAGCATATCTTATTCTGAAGTTTTCAGCCCATGTCACTTTTATACCGTTTTGAATCTGGAACTACGATTTTTCACGTGGACTGCCTCTTGAAATTTCGTTGCCACTATTTAATTAAATTTCGCACTTATCATTTTATGTTTAGTTTTTCTCTTCTTTGTAATTTCACTTTTTTCTAGTATAGTGGTCGGCCATTTTATCAGTATAATGAAGACGACTTTTTTGATAATAATTCGACCCTTAACAAGCATTTTTCAAATTACAAGTTTACAAGTAAACAAAGAGAAGCTGTTAATTGACAGCTTCTCTTATTTTATGTATCTCCGCGGTATGAAAGATAAATCAAAATTAAAATATAAAGTGGTCTTTATTGTATTGATATATATAACGACGATTCACCGACAAAAGGTCAAACGACACAGGGTCAAACGACAAAGGGTCAAACGACAAAGGGTCAAACGACAAAGGGTCAAACGACAAAGGGTCAAACGACAAAAAGGGTCAAACGACAAAGGGTCATAAGTGCGACAAAGGGTCAAACGACAAAAGGTCAAAATGATAAAAATATTTTTTTTATTTGAATCATAGAAAACTCGCAACCCTCGCTATCAATTTTGTACATGGATCTTATATGTTAGACATGGATATAATTGACCATGTGGCCGCAGCGCTCGGCCCCCTAGCCTGTCCTAGCCGCAGCGCTCGGCCCAGAAAGTGTCTTAACTAACCTAACCCGTGGCCGCAGCGCTCGGCCCCCTAGCCTGTCCTAGCCGCAGCGCTCGGCCCAGAAAGTGTCTTAACCTAACCTAACCCGTGGCCGCAGCGCTCGGCCCCCTAGCTTGTCCTAGCCGCAGCGCTCGGCCCAGAAAGTGTCTTAACCTAACCTAACCCTAAATAATTATAAAAAAATACTAACTGTAACAGATGTAAAAAAAAATTTGCCCCTTTGACGCATTTTTGACCCTATGTCGTTTTACCCTTTGTCGTTTTACCCTTTGTCGCGCTTTTGACCCTTTGACGTTTGACCCTTTGTCGTTTGACCCTGTGTCGTTTGACCCTGTGCCGTTTGACCCTGTGTCGTTTGACCCTCTGTCGGTGAACCCATAACGACGAATGTATTATTAAATTTTAAATGACAGAACAGCATTAATTTGACAAATAAAAAGTAAATCTACATTTGTTAAGTATTAAGTATTAATTAAATAACATCTAAAAGTATGATATTTATGATAGTCCACAGATTGAATCTTTTTAATGAAAATTTTCAGCACTAAAATATATTCACTCTCTTCTATTAAAGTTTGTAAAATTATAATAATGTCAACCTAATAAACTGGAAACATAACACTTTACCTTCAGGAAGTACGACCAATTAGATGCTTTTTTTCATCATTTTTACTCCAATAGATCGTCATTATGCTGCTTTCAATTAACCACAATATATGTGTTACTTTCCGTTGTTGTAAATGTTTTTTCAATAATTTTTTTATAATGTTTTTTTATGTTTCATTTTGTCCTATTCCTCTTCACTATTTGAAGTTAATACTTGTTACATGGAATTAAACAAGAATCATTGTCAAGTAAAAGTTTTTGTGTGTCAGTCAAATCCCTGTCCTCTAAAAATATGGGATTTAAAATGGGAGCAAAAAAACTTTTTGTTTCAGTCTTAATGTGTAAAAAAATAACCAAAAGCAGTTTTTACCTTCATACCTTTTAGCTTCAGCATTTTTTCCTAAAATTTAGTTTTTTATCTGTTATGTGATATTTATTTTTTTATGTTTGCAAATATATATGGTTTTCCGCGCATTAGTGTGTGTTGTGCTGAACAACCTTCTACCGGTTTAAATTTGAATCACTGATTCAAATCAAATTTGAATCACTGATTCAAAGTTAAAGGTGTTACATGATTTGTACTGATGATTCAAGATTTGATCCGGCAGTAGGTAGTTCAGCAGCTCTTCAATACATCAAATTCGATCCTTGGTTAAAATAGCATTTGATTGATCTTAATAAATGATTTGATTGATCTTAATAAATATAGTTTTTAAGTAAAAGTATTAATTAATACAATAGTTATTCTATATATTGTATATATTGTATATAATACCCGTGGTTATTGTATAAAACGTGTATATTTTTTCCGTAAAAATCGTAAAAATCTAACAATTAATTTTTAAATGAACCGACGGAATCCCCTTAGCAGAACAGAGCGNTTACCCGCAATTGCTTTTAAGATTATGTTATCTAAAATATATTCTTACATTAGTTAGTTTAATTATTTCATAATTCGGTATTGAAAAAAACGACTATGGATTTATTGATAATAACAGATGGGACACTAACTTTCATCTTCTCAAGATTTAGGGGTTTTTTTCGTTCAAAATAACCCTGAGGCAGAAGCCCAAAGGAGCTCCGCGCAGGCAGCTTGGAAATAAAAGACAGATAGCGAGCACGCGCGTAACCACTTAAGGCCTCTGCCTCTGGGTTATTGTGAACGAAAAACCCCGAAATCTTGAGAAGACATCTAGTGTCCTATCTGTTATTGTTAATCTATGGAAACAAAGTTTCAAGACTATGATTAAAAAATACACTTTATAAATTTCGTTTCTGAAGTAGGGTTGGGCAGTGGGCAGATTAACATGTATTCCAAGCCGTTCATGTACAGTTAGTTAAACTCGTTTTTGTTTTTTACTTTGCTGGTAGACTTTGTTCTTTGCTAAGATATGAACGTTTTTTCGTGAATTAATTGCCTTAACGAAGGTATTTTTTCATTAAAAAATTGCTGGACAAAGGAATTGAGTCTTTGTCACAAACTATGATTTTCTAATCTCTATATCTTTGTAATCAAATGCCGTAAACCTTAGATATTTCAAACTATGAATTCTGTTAGATAAAAAAATAAAAGTTTGAAATATCAAAGGTTTCCACCAACAGGTGGAAAAAATGTAGGTATTAGAAAATCAGAGTTTGTTACAAAGACTCAGTTCCTTTGAAGCCAACATTTAAAAACGTCAAAACACTTAAAAAGCCAAAATTCCATTCAAGATTGTTTATCCCAAACATTTGCTTTTCTTTGACCATGAGAGAAAATGTACGTCAAAAAAACTTTAGTTTTTTCTTCTTTATACCTTTAAGTGTTATCTAAGGGTAAATTATTGGAAAGTTTTATAACAGCAAACTTTGAGGGTATATGATTTATGAGTAATCAATTTCTTCTACATCAGTATTTTCCAAAGAGAAAAGAATATATATTAGAGTGGAATTTAGCCATTCCCTCGGTATAATTTTTTTCAGTCCCTTTTAGCCTGAAAGGGAGTTCAAAGTGTTTAAATCATGTAAATGTTCACAAATTATATGCAGTAGAGTACATTAATACAGTATGTTAGAAGTAAACTATCCATTTCAATTTCGGAATTTTTAAAGCTGTTAAATAAACTTTAAAAAATGAATAAGATGAATAAAAGACATCATTTGATTTATAGTTATAACGGAAAATCATCTTTTGTAAAGTGAAAGGCAAAGAGTCTATGTGAAATGATCATTTGTCAAGTATGAAACCAGCCTGTTTCATAATTTGGTTTTCTTTTAATATTAATTTTAGATTTTCTATAAAATGATGTTCCAGGGCCAAAAATGTGAAGTACGCCTGCAGTATGGAAACAGTACAACAAAATTGTTAATGGTTGACAATATTCTATTCTCTTTGGTATTTTCAATCCTATTTGTAAATTTGGTATCATCTATATGGCGCTACGACATCTGCTCTAATTCCATTTGCTCTATGGCCATTTGCCCTAGTTCCATTTGCTCTATAGCTCATAGATCACGACGTTTGCCCTATATGTCATCTGCTATATACGTCAGTTGATCTATGACATAAGACGTCATTTGCTCTATAAACATTTTTATGGCTGTGATGGTCCAATTTCTCTACTCAACATTTGCTCTATGAGTAAACACGTCATTTGCTCTATAAACATATTTTACAAATATCTAATTATATTGGAACAATATTTTTACAATTTTTCAATTCTTCCATCAGTTTCATTATTCCGCCAACTTCCTGGAGATAGTTTTGTTTGTCTGGTATTTGTGCATAGTGGGAGACCTAAATATAGTTTTCACCACATATTAGGCTTTTTTTTTCCCTCTTATTATTGAGTAGTCTCTCTGTCATGATGAACTTGGAAGAACTGATTAAAACTGCAATTTGCGAAATTTCCAAAAAATTCCCGCATTTCATAGTCAAGTTACGCTTAGGAATTCCAATAAAAGATATTTTATATTGTATTTTTAGGTTATAGAGCAAATGACGTGTTTAGTCATAGAGCAAATGAGGTATAGAGCAGATTGAATATAGAGCAAATGACTTGATAGATCAAATGGAACTAGAGCAAATGGCCATAGAGCAAATGGAAATAGAGCAGATGTCGTAGCGCCCATCTATATCAGAATTTAAGCAAAGATAAGTTTTTCTTTTATTTTTGAATTTCATAATTTCTCGATATATCAATTTTCAACCAAGCCAAATGGCTAACTTCAAATGTTACAATATACATTCCTCTTATTGGTCTTCCACACTGCCCCAGTAGCAATTTTGAAAAAGTTTTAACGACCACCTCTAAAATTTATTCTTTAAGTTGAATGAAATGCGGAATTAAAATCTGATTTAATCAAAATATTTTAATGGGCCAATTGGATATTATGGCCACAATATCACTTTGTCTTAATTAAGAAAACTTTAAGGAAACCCACGAATCATAAAAAAAATTGTGAGTCTATTTTTGTTTATATTGTGTTTTTGAACCCCTATTTTACAGTTTTGAAGGAGTAGAAAAAATAACTGATAAAATTTATGCTTTTAGTGACTGGATTTTTGACTTTTAAAAAAATCCAGGATTTTTAGCCTGACACCTACTTATGAAAATATCAAGCTATTTAACAACTTTACATTTCTGTTGGTTTCAAATTTCAGGATATTTTAGCACGATAACAGCTTATAAAAATATATTATTTTAAACTTTACATTTCTGTTGGTTTCCATTTCATTGAATAAAAGAAAGTGTGGAAAATGATATTTTTTATCTACTCTTCATCATAAAGAAATGCTAAATATTTCTTATTTTCCAATTCAAACCAAACAATGTAGAAAATTTACAAAACGGAATTATTTTTTTCTAAATTCCTTTTCCAAAACTGGATTTACATTGAAATTACAAAAGAACTTATAATCAGAGCAACCTAATGATAACATTTGTTTTCTGGTTTATCGGGAAATATCTTGAAAACTAGATATTTCCAGATTTCAAGTTGTATACATTAATATTTTCATAAATCTATCTGACGCAACCTTTTCTTATATTTGAAACTGATATTAATCCACTGCCGCATAGTTTACTTGGAGGATGTTTTCTCAATGCGTTGGAGCTACAACTTGTGTGGTGTTTTCTACATTTTTATATTTGCGTTCCCCCTGACTACGCTTAAACGTTACACTAATAAAACGCTAACAGATAATACGCCAGTAAAGAAAAAAAATGCTACTCTTTCAAAATATTATGTAATTAGGTTTGAACTCAGAACTTTAAGATTGGATAATAAATTGTATTTTTTTTTATATTATTACTTAAATTTTCCAATATCATACATAAGCTATTAATTTCAGCTAATATGTAAAATATAGTGGAACCCCTTCTGCTTACAGGAAACCTCTTCTTTACTACCTTTAGACCTGACTCTAAAGAACCTATTCAAGTCGTAATATGCATAAAAAATATATTTTGGAAAAAAATAGTTAATGCATAGGACAGCAGTTACATACTATTATAGCAGCACCATTACAATATTACGAAAAAGGAATATTTGGCATAATGAATATTAATATATTTTAGTTGCAAGTTCTTTCTTTTTTGGTTTAATAAATCGAGATATTGAATTATAAAAAAATTAAGAAGTTTCATTTTACAGCTGTTATAAGAATTGTCATTGTCAACAATATTAATCTATAATATTATCCATGATGTTTTTTGTGCAAAAGGAAAAAATTTAGACCGTTTATTTGAATGCTAAATGATGTCATTGATAAAACTTCTTAAACAAATTTTTAATTACATTATCCAATTCTGTCTTTTTCCTTGTATCAATTTTGAAAAGAACGTGAGACCAACCAGAGGCGCAACTAGGACTTTTGCTAGGGGGGGGGGGCAATATATAATTTTGTAATGGTCTGGGGGGGGTGAAGGGGTGGTTTTCCCCCCCTTTTTTGAAAATTTTTCGAAAACATAAGTGCTTTTTTAAGGGTTTGAAGTCGAAAAAAAAACAATTTTAAGTTGTTGCATGCAGATTTGGCTGTGTTCAATTCAAATAGATTTTTTGTTCTTGTGTTTTTACAAAATTTATACTTCCAACAGCTATAAAATGAATGATATGAGTCAATTCATTGTATGTGTGTGCGAATCGCAAAAAAGTATTTTTTAAGTACCTGGTTTACTTACAGATTAAATTGCAAGAAAATCATAAAAATACAGAGGTAAAGAATAAATTCAATCATCTACATTGACCCCCCCTCTCAGGTGCTAGGGGAGGGCGCGCCCCCGGCCGCCCCCCCCCTAGTTGCGCCTCTGAGACCAACCAAGAACAAGTCCGGATTTATTTTCTTTAATAAAAAGAAATTGAGAAATCGACAATTTCAATTTCAATCTCAAAATATTAATACAAATAACCATTTTTAATTGGTGAATGTTTTCACCATTTATGTTAAAAGATGGAACTCAATTTTTCAGTCCAAATATCATCAAATATCCTCAAACTACGCATATAAATTATTTTGAGAGCCGAAAACGGGATTTTTAGTGACCCAATGAAACTGTCAACTATGATAGTACATAAAAGATACATGATTTTTATATTTTCTTCGTCGAGATTTTGCGTTGGTTTTCAATTTTTTTTTATGTCGATCCACTGAAATTACCACCATTACACAAAAACGAACATTGACTGTTTACTATTTCAAAATAATTCTATGTCAAGAATCGTTTCAAAGGCACCAAGAAATATTTAAAATTAATTAATTCCAATGTTTTGTTTATATTCGAAATTTAGATTTTCCGGTACAGCGGAATTTTACGCGGCAATTCAGAATGGGACCGAGTTTGATTTGGTCGTCTTTTCTAACTCATTTCCTGTCGGTTTCATACACACAAATATGTTAATTAGAATAATGGTCGAAACAAAGAAGTCAAAATCGCTTCCGGGGCAGTGTGCTTCATAGATCTAAAATATTGCAGATTTTAAATATGTCCTTAAATAAATAAATCAGATGTTCACAGATATTTTTTTATAAAAGAGATTTTTTGTCCCCGGCGGGTTGTTACAATCAGATCTCGGAATTTTTCTATTGCGAAAGTTTTGTGTCATCTGGGTTTATATTGATCTACCACTACCAGGGGTTGTAATCTGGCAGCACATTTATCCATCCACACTTTTTTCATACGGAGGGCTTCTTAAGCCTGCGAATATTAGAGTGCAGGAATTCTTTTGATATACTGGAATAAGGCCTGGGGGCTTAACAGAGAGGAAACACCAAAGACGGTAGAATGAGTAGAATAGTAGAAGATAGGGCATTAGGAATTTATCCGAATAGTGTGTACGCTCTGTACACTTTGATATGACGTCATTGGCTGCAGTATTGGTTTTTAATTGAAACAATCAACATTAAAACGTCAGTTACTAAATAATTTAATCATTGTAGTTGCTACATATGGTGGGAAAATAACGACACGGTTATAAACTTCTAAATTTGTTTTAATCAGTTATAGGATAGGATGCTCTCCTGCTAAAGTACAGCTAAAATTGTGATTTTGTTAAGCATCTCATTTGTATGAAAAATACCACATATTTTTGAACAAAATTTGTTAGATGTCATTAAGCATAGTTTTGTAAAAGTCTAAGCAGAATTTTAGGCCAGTAACGTGAGAAAGGCCTGGAAAAACCTTAGTATTAAGTAGTCAAATTTATTTTAACCAATTACATTGCAATCTATTTTAAGATAAGGTTTATCTAAAAAGATAGTAAAGTTATGCATTTCTAACGGAAAACTACGTATAAACGCAAGTTTTTGGTGATGGAAATGCTTAAAAAGTCCTAACATTTTTTTAGTTATACAAAAGATGACATTCTATAACTTCTTATTGAACCCAATTGATGATGCGCCTGGTTTTGCGAATATATCCAATGCCTTCTCTTTTTATTACAACGCTCTTTGGGAAACATCGCATTCATTGCTCCTGATCATTTGTAAGACCGGATTGGATACTTCCAGGTACCTATAGCTGGCTACCATAGACTTTCCCTGCGTTGTTCTTTTCTTCATCATCAATAGATATTTTTCACAGGTTTGTGAGGAGTATGGGAACACTAGTCTGGACACCAATCCAGTTACTGGCTGAGGACAAGTGTGCTTAACTTCAGTGAGTTAACGGTAACTGGTATCACTCACTCCCCACCCCATGGATAGAGCCACAATTAAAAATTAAAATATAATGTGAGTGTTTTCTATTGCCATGAAAAAATTGTTTAGTAATAATTATCTAAAATATACAACAATATTTATGTATTGCTTACACATTAAATACATAATATATAATAGATTTAAAATTTATCCTATAATCTTTATAATCTTCCTAATTCTCAGATAACTTGGCTAAATACTGTACAACTAAATGTTAATATGTTCAATAATGATTGTTTAAAATATCATATTAAAGATAAAATAAATACATATTCTTAATCGTACTTTTTAGCTAAACTGTTCCACGTTGTTGTCTGATAATGTTAACGTTTGTATAATATTAAACTCAAGCATGCACTTACTCCAGCTTCTAGCAATAGTTTAACCCTAAACCCTCAAGATCATGTTCGACACTATAACCATGAAATTGTTTTACTTTTACTTAAAAAGAAACTTAAAGGATTTAAAGGCACTAAAAAGTTTGGTCCGTGTAAAAATAAATTCAAAATAACCCATAACTTTTTTCTGATATAGTCGATATAGTTCTTAAATTTGTAGATTATACAGATCTAAAAACTATACTTTTGAAAAGCCTTGAGAAATGGATGTAGAAACATTTTTCACATCTTGATATCTGTAATTGTAACAGACAAACAAAAATATTTTTTACATTTTTTTTACTCTTTTTTGGCATTGTTTTCAACCCTCCCTAGCATCCAAACTATTAAAGCTATCGAACTAATATGTTTTCGATCTATACAAAGATTTACACCCCCCAGCCTTTATAAGGTTAAGTGTTTTTTTTTTCCTTTGAAATAGTAATTGTAAATAATGTCTTAAAATTGAGAAAAATAATTCATACTTCATGTTAAATTAGTATAAATACTAAATATATATTAATTAACTACATAAGTTTCAGAATGTATTCAACATTTATGTTTTTCTTCATCTCTCCCCCTCCGATGAATTAGCCAACAAAAACCTAAAAATAATTAAATTAAAACTGATTCAATTGAGTACAATAACATTTAATTTATTAAAATTTATTATTCAAAAATTTATGAATAACTAGGCGTCACTTTCAGACCAGCCACCACGGTGCCACTTTTGCACCACCTGGTGGCTTAAATTTCTACTTAATAAACTGATATGCAACTCAACTATTTTAATTATTTTTTTTCAAAAATAAGAGTGTGATTCCATTATATAAGAAAACATAAACCATTAATAATTCAATATTAATGATTAATAGTTTCTAAATTTTTTATAACAGCACAATTTTTATATTTGATTTATGTGAAAAATATACAGTGATACCACAATGTAACTAGAGGCTTACTTGAATATATGAAATCACAGAAAGACTCCTATTAAGATCTTGCTTTGTTTATTGGAGTGTGAGACGGTACCTTAGTATGTGTGTACAGGAAGTCTTGTTCTCTCTTAATAAGAGTTTCTTGATCTGGACTTGAATCCGGAAATGAAGATGAACCGGAGAAATAAATTCTACTCGGAACTTTCAAATAATAATAATAATATAATAATAATAACAATAATAATAATAATAATACCTGCAAAGATACCAAATGATCCCTAAGGATACAGTTAGAGCACAAAGCCAAACAATGTATGGAGTATGAATAATTCCATAATCTTGTTTAGAATTGTAATGATGGATCCCGTCCACACTCTCGATACTCCTGAAAGGGAGAGACCGGCTAGACATGGTAGTTGAGATGAAAGTGCAGTATTGTAGAGAAAAACTTTAGGATCAATTTAATAACAAAAAAAATAAGTTATTAAAATTCATTTTAAAATCTCACAGGTTTATGCAAATTCTTTCCAGCTTGGGTCGCTTGTTATAGGTTTTCTTTATTTTTAATTGTGAAGACCATATTTTGAAGAAATCTGCGAATAAAATCATAGATACAGCAAAGGTAATGATGATAACAATATAAGCGATTCTACGGTTCTACTAAGGTTTTCATCGATAATTTCTTTTCAGAAATATGTTCCTAAATAACAATAAATAGTTCCTAAATAGTGTTAAAAAAATAGTTTTTTGTCTAGGTTATTAAATAATTGTTTAATACGTCTTCTGCTGCCTGAAACAACTGGTGAAATATTACAAACGACTTAACGCTCTTATTTAAAAATTGTACACCGTAAAATGTCTAATTGGTATCAAATAAATTCTAAATTTTTTCTATAAGTATACTGCACTTTCATCTCAACTACCTTTTTAGGGACACTTCGTGAATTCTAATCATAAAACCATTTTGAAATAAAAGTATACTTTTCTTTCTATTTAAACCACTAAAAACTAGTTTTATCAAAACATTAACACAGATTGTAAACAATGCTGTCATTGAGACTAATTTAATCCACAAAGTTTGGTTTATTAAACCGGTTTAATATAGTAGTTAGTAGATTTTCATGGTTGCAATTTGCGGGTTTTGGAATTTGATTAGAACATAAAATTCCGCGTTAAGACTATATAATTCTCCACAAAGCAAGGTTTTATTTTGATCAGACCTAACTCAGTAAGTGAAGTCTAAGGGGTTGGTAGCTGTCGATCACGTGACACAATTGCTGCCGTTGGCTGATTCATAAGTTGGGTCTAAGATAAAGCCTTTATAGTCTAAGACCCGAGTCTACGCTTTTAAATCGTGAACTCAGAGCAGTTCTAATATGNTCTATCAAATTTGAAATAAACTAATTAGATGCCATTGAAAAGTTTTTGTTAAAACTTTATTTGAATGTTTGTATTCTTTCTTCCTCGGATAAAATTAGTCTCCTCCTGGCATACACAACCTTCAGTTAATATAATTCAAACTTTTAAATTAATATCATCCGTCACAGTAAAATTATGATTTATTATTTCAAGACCTCAGTTATTCACACGTGTAAAAAAATTGTTGAATCAATGTTTAAAACCGAGTCGACTTTGATGCGTCTCAACGCCTTAGCCTGTGGATTTAGATTTCTAGCTCACTTTTACTTTTTAGAAGTCATGTATAGTATGTTAACAACCTTTTCTTAGCTTTTAGATGATAGACGTAATTGGCAAAATCCTGCAACATTTTTGCGTTTGATTGTGCACATTTCGGTTGACTGAGAATTATTTCTTTGTAAGAGTAAACGTGCAGGCAACCTTCTATTTCATAACATCTGCAATTCTCCTTATTTTTTTCCTACTGAGAATAGATGAATGAGATCGATGCTTAGTTTGTGTACTGTGAAACTAAATATTTACCAATTTCAATTTTAAAAAGTAACGTGCGATAATATGCTACAAAGAGAATGAAAATAATTGTATGAATTTAAAACTTGTGAAGATATAAAAACGACGATATCTTTCTCATTGTTTCTAAGATACAGGTTTAAAGGGTACAGTTGGGACTCCTGTCCTTTTCTAATTAATTTGAAATTAATGCGCGGAAAACTTTTTCATTTTGTGTTTTGTTTAATTGTTTTTCTAGTTTACTGTTTTTATATTTTTTTTTAATAATTCTAATTAATGTGAAAGGTTTATTTTCATTTTTTCATCATTACAATAATGTTTTTTTTAAACACACTATTGCATATGGCACTCTACTTAAAGGGACTGTAAGCGTAATTTTAAGTGACTCCATGAAGACTCACAATGGTAGACTTAAAACCTTTGACTGGTTGAATATTTGGGGTAATGTCAATGTACACAGGTAACAGATCATCTGTTTTGAGATAACCACGTTCTACAGGATTTCAAGCGGTTTTTAAAAGATTTAAACACAAAGCTCTCTTAAACATTCAAATATTAACCCTTGTAAATCGGGCATTGCGGATTGCCTTCTTTGCATGGAGGGTCAATTAATTTAAGCTTACAGTCTCTAAAATAGAAGGTGACTCAAAATTATGTCAAGAGACTCTTTAATTAAAGTTAGTGATCAGTATTCAGGGTGGGGAAGGAATTTTTCTTTGCTTTGCGCGAATATCTTTTTTAACCCGACCGGACTTAAATCCTGTAACCGCCCCTTAGTTTCTCCAAACGAGGTTATGTTTCTCCCATCAATGTCTACATGAAATTGTTCTAACCTAAGTGGAAGGAATCTAGTACGGTACAATAATGCTCCAAGTGTCCAGTGTACCACCTCTCCTTGAACAGTGTTTGGTGCCGCAGTCAGATGTCCATAGTGTCGCGGAAACGTTAAACCTTAACAGTCGTGTTTTTCAAAAGCAATTTGCAGATTTCAACAGCAAAGAACAACATAAAAAATGGACGCAGTCTCTTCATTATTTTCAATATTTGAAGAATTTATTCTATTTAGAGACGGATGCAGCAACACATGAGATGAGATTTTAAAGATTTTTATTCGGGTTTAAGCTTTTAAAATCTCATCTCTGGATACAGTGTAAACAAACTAGTGAATTTTAGGGTTCAATTTGTCTACAAATTAATTGGATATTTTACCGGCTTTGAGCTCAGAAATAATATTAATAAATAAATAATTAGATTATCTCAATCTCCTGTTCACTCCAATGCAATTCAAGACACGTTTTTATTATAAAAGCTTTTGACCCAACTGAGAGAGGACTGGGGTTTTTTAAATTTTTACGTTTGTGTTTTTTTCTTCTAAATATTTTAAAATTCATGAATTTAAAGTTAAACATTTTGTTAATTTTTAAATAGGAAGAGAAATTCCGACAATGTCTAATTTTAAGGTTTTAATATTTTTTCTTTTTTTTCTTTCTGAGCATCTCATATTATTACTAAATTCACTAAACCTTTTAATCATTAAAATATTTTAAAACATTCGAGGCATTTTAAGCTATTTTTGGAATTTAGTGATTCAAGAAATGTAAATTACATAAAAATATGAGGGAAAAAATTCTTTAATAATGAGTGGTCAAAGTAATTGAGTATTATGTTTAATTAAGATAAAATTAGACTATTAAAAAATTCATTTTTCATGATTTTTCTGACACCTTGTGACAGTTCACCTACCCTTTGTACATTTACATCATTTCAAACCAATCTTAGACATCAAAAGCAACATTTTGACACTTGCTGATATTTCATAATGTATTTTCATAAATTGAATAAAAGACGACATTTGCGAGGAAATGACTTTCCCCTTGAATTATACATTATAGAACTAAATGTATTTATCTCTATAAACTAATAATTTCAAATGTTTTAATACTACTTTTATGTCTAACATTGCGCTAAAGGTAAAATATTAGATGGAGCTGAACTGTCGCTGGGAGGTGAACCGATGCAAGAAACCGACCCTTTGGATTTTCTAATCCCTTTATCTTTGCAACCAAATATTGTAGAACTTGGAAATTTAAAACTATAAATTCTATTAGATCATATAATCTAAAGTTTACATCATCAGGTTGTAAAGATATATCCATAACAAAACTTAGGTTTGTAGCAAACACTCTGTTCCTTTACAATATAGGTGACACACCCCTTAATAATTTGATTACCTTGATGTAGTGCAACAGATACCCAGGCACTTTTAAAGCACTGACTTTCAAGTCTTTCAGAGTCAGCATTTGGATAGACACCCTGGAATTATATTTATTAGGATAGACACCCTGGAATTATATATATTAGGATAGACACCCTGGAATTATATATATTAGGATAGACACCCTGGAATTATATTTATCAGGATAGACACCCTGGAATTATAAATATTTGGATAGACACCCTGGAATTATATATTCAATATATTCAGATAGACACTATGGAATTTTATATTCGGATAGATACCCAGAAATTATATATTCGGATAGACACCCTGGAATTATATATTCGGATGGACACCCAGAAATTATATATTCGGATAGACACCCTGGAATTATATATTCGGATAGACACCCTGGAATTATATATTCGGATAGACACTCTGGAATTCGGATAGATACCCAGAAATTATATATTCGGATAGACACCCTGGAATTATATATTCGGATAGACACCCTGGAATTATATATTCGGATAGACACCCTGGAATTATATATTCGGATAGACACCCTGGAATTATTTATTCGGCTAGACACTCTGGAATTTCATATATAGCCTAAACCCGAATTGAATTTGGATTCGAATTGATATCAATCATTTTTCATCTAATGTTTGAGTTATGAGAAAATTGTAAAAAAACATTGGTCGCTCACAGCCAAAACTCGCTTAAAATCCGCACATGCTCAAAACTAACAGGAAACATCTACCAGCCATATTATTGTCCTCCAGAATACATATTTAAATTGTGTACATTTGCTCTTTGTTTATCAACATTGTAAAACAATAAAAAAGTTCGCGGATTTTATTTTAACAAAAATTTCGTAGATTCATCAAATATATTAACTTTTTAATTTTTGAAATTTTGATAATTCATAAACATTCCCTGGGGTCATGTGAGTTCCCACACAAAATTTGGGCCCGATCGGTAGAGCCGTTTGGCGTTTATTGGTTACAAACGGACAGACAAACAAACAGACAAGCAAAGTATATATATTGA